GCACAGTAGTGCTAGCTGGTGGTTGGAAATTAAGAGTCGCAGATTCTGGGATCTCCTTATGTCCAGAAGTGGGGGTTTCTGTGATCACAGTGTTGCTTAGCACTCGATGCCGTGCAGACCTCTTCCGGAAACTCCATCCACGTTTGTCACTTGAACCCTTGCTCTAGAATGAAATGGAAAGAACAATGATCAATACAGCACACACATAGAACAAAGTGCTCTTAGAAGCAACTACGTGCATGCAATAAGCATTTTAAATGAATCGCAAGGGAAAAATATACGCCTATTACCATATATCAGCTAACCATGAGATCAAAAGTTCACAGTAATTAGGAAATGCAGATGGCAGTTATGATCAACCAAATGTTCTTGCATGTTACATGGGTTTCAGAAAATTTACGAATGCATTTAGCCTAATTACATCATATAAGCAAAAGTTACACACTCTTCAAATATAAACCATTTGGTTATCCTTATTTCACTCTTTTCATGATATGAAAATCACATATTAGAAGTATCTCCATTCCTAATCTAATAAGCATGTCCACTCGATGCTAGGATTGTATAGAATAGAAATCCAGTTAAATACAGATCCTAGATTTTGTCAGATCTTAGTTTAGGAAACTCTTTTATCTTTAGTACAGCCTTTTTTTCTTTTCTGAGCTTCCAAACAGAGCATTAGCGGTTTCTTAGTAACGCTCCACAGCATCTCATAGGTTCATTAGTAAACAAAACTATCTAATCTCAGCCCTCACAATCACAAATTAATGAAATGCAAATCAAAAGAGCACAGCAGAACCCAACAAAATTGAACCAACGGAAACAAGCCAAAAATGGAAAGTCAAAGAAAACCAAAATGCAGAAACTGTGAACCAATCAGATACCTCAGGAGCTTCGAGATCGTCTTTGTCCGCTGAATCGTTACCACATGTGATAATTTTGAAGCAAGAGGTAGATTTCCCCATTGTTTTTCACTTCTCACCCACACCCAGACCCTCTCTCTTTCTCTCTCTTAGACACACACACAGACAGACACACACACACACACAGACACTCTCTTTCTCTCAAGAGACAAAACCGCCTATGTTGGTGCGGTGTTGCAAGCTGTGACAAATGTAGCTTAAGAACACGGACCTCAACACACTCCTTAAATCCGGCTAAATTCTTATGTGGAGTCCGCCATTTATCAGGTCCGTTGCACAATACGCCCGTCCGTTGAAAGAGGACGAGGTAAAAAAATCATTTAAAAATAAAAAGAAAAAGAAAAAATGTCAGACGTCCAACTTTTAATTATTTTATAATATTTAAAGAAAACTGGAAAATCAAAATATCTTATCCACCAGTCCAGCCGATTGTCACGAGAAATTGCGTTTAGCGGGTAAATGTCGAAGCTAAATCGGATTAGGGAAAAGTTAACGTTAGATTCAGTGCATTTGTTTCTTGTGCTAATGACGGTTTTGTTTGTTTACCCGCACTCCTTGCTTTGTTACTTGGCCCACCCTAATTATGGTTTTCTCTATTACAACCCACCTCTAACTATGACAACGATGGGGTAAGTTTAGTGTAAGTGTCACGAGTTTATGCAATTTTCTTCAAATAAGATAGGAAATTTATAATTTGTAAAGAAAAAATTATAGATGCTATTGATCATGTAAGTACAAGTTAAATAAATATGTCATTTAAAATTTAAAAAGAAATTCATATTTGTAGTATGTTTTGTTAGTGTTTAATTCGGATATGATTCTTCTTGCATTCACATTAGTTAAATCTAAAATCTATGTCAATTAAGTATAAACTATACTAAAAATTAGTTGATATGAATAAGTAATCACAATTCAATGTTTATATCGACTTATACTTGCCAGTATTAATTAAACATAAATCAATACTTACATGGAAGTGGTCCACTCCATTGGTTTCTAATATCATGTGATATGCCGATAATGTTTTAGTACACATATCATAATTAGATGAGCTTCGATTAGGCAAATTGCTCAAAATTTCGTACCATTAGAAAATTCAAACCTAACATATGGGCCCGACAAAAATCAGCTTATCACGAGAATAACGTGACGATTGAGAAATAAGAATGATAAATCAGACGGTGGGCTGTGGGTGGGCCCGACAGTGGCTTTCCTGTGAGGATTAGAGAGATGGAAGAAGAATAAATGAAAACGGTGGTGTCTTAACAACGGAGGCTTTTTTTTTTTTTTTTTTTAGGCTGTCTTGTATTTGTTTTTTATGTTTTGTTTGACAAATAATGTTGGCCTATTGGGTTCCAGTTCCCATTTCCAACCAGCAAGTAACCATACCAGTGACGAGTCGACCAACAACAATTATTGACAGCTGTTTTTGTCCTTACGTGCCACGTGGTTGTCCACTGAATTGACACGTGTGAGCACATGGGAGTCTGAGTTGCATACTGTATGTATCCATGATCCATCCACAGTGATATTATGCTTGCACAAGGCATATACCATGTTTCAGCAGCTGCGAATGGGTTGCCATTGCCATGAATCTGTCGTGTGCGGCCCCACCAAGGCATTTGCTAGAAGGGGAAGCTCTTCTCGCTTGCTACCTCTCTGATTTTGGTGGTTGGACCGTTAGACGACCTGCTCTGCTCTGCTCCAACCCAAACGCCTAGCCGTACGGTATTGGATTCCAAAAATGACAGTCTTTGTCGTCCTGTAAAATTATGTAACGTTTTAAAAAGCAAATTAGGTAATCCAATCCAAGTGTGATCATTGAAAACAAACCCCAATCCATGCTAAAACATGTAAGGTTCAATAATTGTATATTAGTTGTGTGGTCTCTATCCCCCTTATCTATTTTACCATTGAGATGTACATAAATGGCACCAACCCACTAAAAAATTATTGTTTTGGATGGCTTAACAACGTTTTTACCCATAAATTAAGATTTAGAGTAAGTCTAGGAGTCGCAATCAGAAAGGCTGAGGCATCAATACCCATTTAGGCATTAAACCATCATTTTAATCTTGGGTGGGGAATTATTTCAGCAATCAGCTTTTGTGCTCATTTTTAGGTACAACGGCATATATGACTCTCCACCAAGTGGTCCTCTCCTCTGTTGAGAAAGGCTGGTGGAGCCCTTGGTCACATGGCCGACGGGGATATGATTGAAATTGTTTCTAATTATACATATACAGGTCTAGACTGTCAAAGCCATGAGCTTTCCTTCCTTGGGCATGCTTATTGATTGTCCTTTTTTTATTTTTTTATTAATACAAGGGATATTAGGAGATGGGAGTTTCGATCACGTAATCACAAGTGCATGGATAACTAATCTTAATCACTTTAGCTACAAGCTCATTTCAGCCTAGTCACGTCTATCAATTTGGGCCTTAGATAATTCACATAGCTTAAAAGAGTGGGATCTTGAGGGTTTCTTGGGTCTCAACTATTCATCATGTGTTTCCTCTTATATGGACATAAAGTTGCAATGATTATGAAAGATGGGGCCTGTTAGGCTCGTCTAGCTTTAATCTATGCCCAACAAGCTTTGTAACATATGGAGTGAGTGAGGTCAGTATTTAGTATTCTGCGATACGTTGAAGGCTATTGATGCTTGGGGGCTCACAGCTTTCCTATTCCTTGACTCTACAAGCAAACATGAGTGCTATATGGTCCCTCCCCTCTCCACTCAATATTCTAAGCCAAAACATTATTAGACTAGAAGCTTATCACACCACAAACTCCCTTTGTCCATGACGCGTCAAAATAATTAGCCCAAATTCTCTTCACGAGAAAAACTTTCCTAGCACGGGGATGCCAGGTCAGAAAACCCATTTCATATCCCAATCCAATAAGATTGTGCCACCTGCCCAATCTTCCCAAAGCCATCTCTTCCTGCTGCTTCGAAGCAAAGCTCAGTTTTTTCTTTCTCTCTTCTCATGCGCTTGCATAATCCGGCCTTCCACTGTAAGATCGACTGAAACTGTTCAAGAAAAGGTCCAAGTTTTTCGTTCTCTCCCACTCGAATTTAACAAATTCAAACAAAAAAACCCAGAGAAACCAGTGGTTCCTCACTGTTGCTTCCATGGATGCCATCAAGAAGGTCATGCAAACCGGCAGGTCGACAATGATTAAAATGAAAGTTCTACCATGGGTTTCTTGTTGACGTGAAATTAGGCGGAAACTTGAATTAAGTTTTGCTTGGGAAAATCCAAGTGTAAGTTTGGGGATTTTGCTTGGATTCTGAACCAAGGGTTTGGAATAATTAAAGGTTTGGAATTTTATGTTCATTCAAATGAACTTTTATACACTTGAAAAGTTGAGTATCATGGAAGATGGAGATGAATTCTTGGATTTTTCTTGAGTGGTTTCAATCTTGCAGTGGCAGCCGTGAGGTTTGTTCTTGGGAAAAAAAATAAAAAAAAAAAAAAAAAAAAAAAAAAAAAAGAACTCTGCTTTGTACCGGCAGAAGAGATGCATTGTGCATATTGGACAGATGGCACAATCTTATTGGATTGGGATATGAAATGGGTTTTCTGACTTGGCATCCTGTGCCAGGAAAGTTTTTCTCCGAATTTACAGATGGCCCATTTTGATCTTCGTCCTGATTAAGCCCTATTTTTTAAAAGAAATTTTATTTACACTTGATAAACTATGTATTTAAACAAAACACCGCACAAGAAGAACAAGATTAGAGAAAGTGTCAATCAAATACAAATTTGGTACAAGATATATCACTCACATTCTTTCATTTCAGCCGGATGTTAAAAAAGCAGTGTGTTTGTTTCCAGAGTTTTCAGAGTTTAAATCAATCAGTTAATATTATATAAGTGAATTGAATGCAAAGCAAAAAAAAAATAAAAAAAAAAAAAAAAAAAAAAAAAAAAAAAAAAAAAAACATTTACATTTAAAATAAATAAAAGTGGCGCCAAATAAAGAGCGCGCCACATGGCAATAAAAGTACACTTCTCTACATTGAGAGAACAAAATTTCCGGTTTTGACTGGGCCCACTGCGAGAATACAACTTATGACTTGCGAGGCCTTCCTCTCTTACCCGGACCAGTCTTCCCCGGTGCGGGCTTTGGGCTTTTATTTGTGGAAGGAGGGCGGCCCCGTCCACGCCCAGCGCCTTTTCCCTCTGCTGGTGCTGCCTTTTTAGCACCATTGCCTCGACCTCTACCAGAAGCCTTCCCTCCCCGTTGCCTTTTAGGTTCCGTCCTGCCATTGACCTGTTCATCACTTTCATCACTGTCTTCGTCCTCACTGTCGCCATCATTGTCGTCTTCATCTTCCGAATCGGAAGAATCTTTTGACTTCTTCCTCTTGGAATTCTGAGTTGCCTTAGAAGCACCCTTTTTAGGAGTTTGCTTAGAAACTGGAGGACCACTCACAGGTTCCTCAATCCCTGCAACAAGATTAATGCAACAAATCAAGAAACAAGGTTTAACTTTACAGCTTCCCTGAGTTTGGACCAACTCTTCTGGGACCAACTGATCAAGGATGAATGAAATATTCACATTGCAACCACTAAAGTCAGCATACCTTCAACAGAAGCTTTGCCATCATATACATCAAGCTGCCAAAAAGATATAAGTTAGAGAGCAGCCTTGCATTAAACTTAAACAAGATGGAGATGGAATTCAATCGTAATTAGTTCTACTTTCTGCATATAACTGGGATTCAAGATACTGGAATCCCACATTAAACAAAAAGAAGAAAAGACGACCAATTTTGAGTTACCTGATCAAGCCGGTCACCAACATTTGTTCTATCAACAATAACCATGGAATGGCCCATACCACATGCAACACTACATTGTAGAATCCTCCATCATTATGCACGGGAACTTGTAATTGAAGCTTATGGTACATTAAGAACGTAGACAAGACAATACAAAAACAAATACACACCTCATAACATGCATACCGTCAAGAATTTCCACTTTTTTGGGTACTGCAGAAGACCTAAGCAGCCAAAACAAAAAACCAATGATTAAGAAAGGGAAAAGAGACCTCAAAACAAATAAATATATCATATCATGACCCATCACATACTTCTGTCCATTAGGGCCATATCCCAATTCTCCATACTGAGCATGACCCCAACTTATGCAGGAGGAATCAGCACCAACAAAATGGTGCATATTGCCTGAATCCATGCAACGCAAATTCCAGCCACTGTCAACAAAGATGAGAAAAAATTTCTAAGCAATTATGTCACATCATTAGTTACAAACAGAACCAAAAACTTTAGTTTTTATGAATCCCTACAAAAAAAATAAATAAATAAATAAAATCAAAGTTGAAAAGATAATCCAAGAGAAAAGGAACAACTTCCAAGCTAACTCTAAATAGTTTCCTTTCCCTCCCTCGAAAACAATGACAGGCAGGAGATATAAATTATAATTAAATATCACAGAAATGGCAAGCATTAGATATAGAAGAGTCAAAGCTTCTACAGTGAGCAGGAAAAGCATTACCAATTAAAGATGATTAATGATGAGAGTCAAACCTTAAATCCATGAGTGGTTTAGGATACATCCAGTCATCACCCGTGGTCTTAATTTTACCCCACATATACAACTGCCCTCCACCTGGAAAAAAAGAATATAGACGATCAGGAGGAACACCAGATCGTAAAAGTGATTGGCTGTAGTGAAATATAAAAATTATAGCAGTTACTGTGATCACAAAGATCAATCATCAATTATCAACTCTTGATAAAGAGAAAAGGTGCTCCTCCATTAACTTCAATTTAAATTATAAATGTGTTTTGGTGTTTGACATGTGGTAAGGTGCCATGACCTTCCAAATGTGACTATGCAAAGCGTAAAGCCTATGCTTAATGCTTATAAGCTTCCCACTTCTTCCAAACAGAAAAAATCTGTTAGAGAGGCAGCTAAGAGAATTTGAAAACCACGAATAATACAAAAACCCATTTATGCAAGCAAACATGTGACCACAAATTGACATGAAGAAACGTCTCATGAAAATATAAGAATTTATGAGAGAACATATGAATGGTATCCTAATAAGGTGTGTGAACAATGATATAGCAACCAATGCAAGAACAAGTGAGAGGGAGCCTTGGTAACACATTAACTGGGTACCTGCAGTACATGCAGAGTTCACAGAACCAGCTGATATAACTGCATCAGGAGGCAGAAGATTTTGCCTTTGGAAAACATCAACACGACGAGGAGCCCATTCATCCTTCTGCTCCCTATGTCCAAGCCTATAAACAGCACTCCAGAGTCATATGCAGGGTAAGAAGATCAAAATTAAAAATGACAACAAAGATGATTACAATAGGCAAATTCATAAGAAACATTCATCCACTTCTAAAAATTTAAAACAAACAAAAACAAATGCTTGGGAATGAACAGTGAGTACCGACCTTCCATAACCACCAAAGCCCCACCTGAGTTTCACCATAAATTATTGCAAGTTAGACAGAAATTCAAATATCAAAATATTTGGAAGCAAGACAAAGGTAATGCCATATAAAAGCCCTTACGTATAAACATAGCCATTTGCATCCACTGCCACTGTATTCCCAAACCATATAAAAGATTTAAGTAAACGATAACGACATATATTGCAGACAGAAAACACACATACATGCAATCAGCGGAAAGGGGGAAGAGAGAGAGGGCAGGCATTGTGATAACCTGTATGATTTGTTCCGCATGCAACTTTCACAATGGTTTCCCCAGCCAGAGAAGTTATTGCTTTAGGGCGTGGCTGGGCTTCATACGCAAGCCTCACTGAGCTGTCTTTAGTATTATACTGCAAGGAGATCCATAATTTATCTCATGCTTAATTTCATAAACAACTGCCAGGGCATTCCATTACCGGTAAAGGCCACATTGTCCAAAGATATTAAGGTGTAAAGAAATGTACAAAAAAACCTCTTAATCTACCCTAAAACATACCTCATTATCAGTACCATGCCCAAGTTGCCCATACTGTGGAAGACCTGCAGTTCTGGAAATCAAGAAACATTTGTAATTCAGCCAGTACTCATAACAAATTGAGAACCAAGACAATTAAGCAATTGACCGAAAGTTCAAGAAACTCGAGCATAGCTGCAGACCATACAGTATAGAAGCTCCTTCAACACAAGATAACCACACAGTGAAGTCAGCCCCACAAGCTGTATTTTTAACATCAGACACTTGACAGCGAACAGGGGATTTCTCAATTTCTACAGAACACAAAGCAAGTATGTAACCAAAAGGCTGTCAGTTATACACATATGTACTGTCAAAGATTTACAAAATATGCTAAGTACAATTAAGAGCCATCAAAAAGGAAGTGTGTTAAAAAGGATCACTTTGTTGTTTATTTCTCAGTGGAAATTTGACTTGAATACTAGAAATTACGACAATTTCTACTAACAGAACACATAGCATTAACCCAAGACTCAACTGAACTCACTCAATACCAAGTTGTAAAGTAAACTTGGCTCTTCTATTGGCATCGCATAATGTCCACATATAGAGCAGAAAACATACTCTATAACGTCATGAAAACTAAGGGAATATGGATGTAATTAATTAGTAAAGCATTATTCAATTAAGCATCCCAAAAAACTAATTGTCATCAGATTCTCGTTGCTAGTTCCTAAAATTTCATCATACCAACTTTACAAAGCAGAACCTACCATTTTTTGCTGAACCGGAACCCAGCTGTCCATGCTTATTCCAGCCAAAGGCGAAAGAATACCCATCCTCAGTAATCACTACAGAATGACTCCTCCCTGATGCAGCTCTAACAACTTTGTGCCTGCAATAGAGAATTTCTTTAAAATTATTGAAGAGTTCTCCAAAGATGATGAACTCGAAGATTCACAATGGGGCACCGACATCAAAATATTTCATGGCTATAACACTAGCTCTTAACTAATCTTATCAAGAATACAACTGCGTTCAACATCAGAGAAGCAACATACTTTGAAAGTTCAGACACTACAGTCGGCCTATCACGCTGAATTGAATCTCCGTGACCCAGCTGCCCCTTCTGCAAACATAACTTCATACTTAAATACAAAAGAAATAGACCACAAGAATAAACAAAGAAACCAAAAGTAGAGTCTGATCATGCCTCATTGCGTCCCCAAGTATAGCAACGCCCTTCCACATCCAATGCCACACAATGGCAGGAAGCTGAGCCAACATTTACACAACAAAAACAATCAATTCCAATAAAAACCACCAATCATTATCACATTCACCACCAAAAAAAATTCAAACTGCGTTAAACAAGCAGTGAGAAGGAAACTCACAGCAACCCGAGGCTACAAAACGGATATCGATGCCGACGAGAGGGCGAAGGCGCGTGGGAGAAATCAAGTTGCCTTCGACGGCGCCTTTGCGCCGACCAATGACATCCCAAGACGTACCGCCACAGAACAAGAGCTCTCCCGATTTCTCTACATTCTTACTCTCCTCCTCCTCGACCTTCTTCTCCACTTGGACCGCAGACATTGCAGGTCAAAATCCGGCAAAGCCGACGGTCAAGACTTCAAAAAGGAAAATATACAGCGGAATGGCTCCAGAAGCGGTGGATCCAACGGCTAGTTTTCAAAAGGTGAATAATGAACGGCTGGGATGAAGGTGAGATTGGCGGGAAACGGAGGCAACGGCTAGTTTAAAGAGATCGGGAACGGCATAGGGTTTTGGGGTGTGGAGGAACGGAGGAAGAAATGGATGAAGAATGGAACCCTAATTCAAAATGGGAAAGGAAAATATTAAAAGGGAGGGATTTGGTTGGGTTTACGAGAACAGGGCTTAATTAATTAAAAAGAAAGAAAAATAAAATAAAAAAGGAACGCACGCCATGTAGATAATAAAATAGTCTCTAGATTTTCTTCTGCTGCTTCTTTTCTTTCCTCAAAATCTTCAGCTTGCCTTTCTCTTTTACTCGTATTTATTCATATTTTAATCCGCTCATTTTCGCGACTTTTACTTTTGCTTTTGTTTTCATCACGGCTCCTCTCCTATCGTATGTTTCCCGTGAGGCTAACCTAATTTCATTTCTATTTAAATATTTCATTTGAATAAATCTAATATTGCAGTAGAATTCTTTCAGTCGGTTGCTGTGGCCTTTATGAATGAACCCACTCGTATCGTACTACTCCTCTGTTTATGGATTGCGCGGTTGAAGCTTTGCATGATTTCGATGATTTAACTAAATACTTCAATTATGTGACCAAAAAGAATTAAGCTTTCAATTTAGAAACCCCGACATAATTCGACGAATCTGTAAAATTCCATTTCGGTCCGCATTTGTTGGTTTAAATTCGTGTATGCATATGAAATTATTAAAATAATAACAATCTCAGCTTTTCGTATTTTTCACAAAATTCCCGAGGTTTCAATAATTACATAAACATCCATTAGGTTTAAAATTGTTTTCACAAAATTCATTTTTGTTGATTTTTCATTCAAAATTTGATGATTTTATATATAAAAAATTATCGAAATGACAAAGTTAGCATTTGAGATTATATTGCACATACACTCATTGAGGTTGATTTTGTCATTTGCACACATTTTTAAAAATGAAAATCATCAAATTTTGAACAAACAATCAATGAAAATGGATTTTGTGAAAACAATTTGAAACCTCAAGGAATGTTCGTATAATTTCTAAAATCTTAGGGAGTTTTATGAAAAAGCCAAAAACATGAAGGGATGTTAGTGTAAATAACTCAACGAAATACATATCATTATTCATAAAATCTTCATATTATACTTTGCTGCTATTGAAATTTGTAACTGAGATGAAAACTGATGGTTAAAAATGTCAATTGGACTTGAATTGCGCTTATTAGAGTTATTCCAGCTTGTAGATATATATATATATATATATATATATATATGTTCTAAACATCAAAGTCCACATTTGAAACAAAATTAGAATACTACAAACAACCAGTTAACCAAGACTTGATTCTCCCCCAAGTAAAACTTTCAATACAACAGAAGTAACCAACCCAATGAACCAAAAAATGGTTAAGTTATATAAATTTCACAATAATACTTATGTCAATAAATTTAGACATATATATATATGGATTTATATGACATCATTTCAAAATAAATTTTGTCACCCATAATCTACTGAACCAATACAGGCCAACGTATGTGTTGGCCAACCTATTCGCTTGACTCGTGCTTAGCAGTAGCAGCAGCATTGCCATTGCCATTGCCATTCTGCTGATGGGAAGGTTGTCTGTTTTGCTGAGGCTGCATGAACTGCTGTTGTGTGTGCTGTTGAGACTGGTGTTGTGGCTGCTGTTGCATTTGATAAAGGTTGAGATGCTGTAGTTGGAGCATTTGTTGATTAATTGAAAGGTGCCCTTCTCCACCGATCTCTGCAGCAGCAAGCTTTAGCCGCTGGACTTCTCCAGTCAAGGCCTCATTTAAAGCTGCAACATCAAAGACCAAAGAAAATATAAAGATAAAATCAGTCCAGATCCCATCTACATCAGAAGAAGGAATATGCCATAAATGAAATATGACTGTACGAATTAGAGGGTTTTTTAATAGTTTAAAAAGTTGCATTTATAAAGCGTTAATTAATCAAGCTCCGTGGTTAAACATTTAGGCAATCTAACTATCACAAAATCATGGACCTAAAATCTGACTACCACCCACCAAAGTATTTGAGAAAGGGAAGGGAGTGAAGAGACCCAAGTGTTAATCAAGCTCAATCCTTTCAAACAGCCAGGGGCCAGGGCTGAGTTAAATTTGACTGTAACCTCTGTCTTCCTATCAAAATATCGACTTTTGCCCTACAGGATTGTGTGAATACATCAAAGCATTGAAGAATCTCTTGGATTTAATGTCTTAAGTTAGATCTATTCACTTAATGTTTAAGCTTGACCACTCCTTTCAATCCTAGACCGCTTTCATCACAAGCCGGGAAGAATACTCGATACTCATATGCAAATTCTGCATCTTTATCTAGAAAAATCAACGAATATATTGTTTTTCTTTTACTTGGTATTGACAGATTACAGGAATATCTATACAGTTAGGAATTCCACCTGATATGAAACATTTATAATTACCAAAATGGGAGGAATAAAATTTCACTTTGCTTCCATTCATCAAGATCAGTAGAAATACGTTTCCACAATGAAAAGCACAAGCAGACAGATACAGCAGCATTTTTATTTTGACTCAAAATACAGCAGCACAGTTATAATTGCTAAAACTAACTGAAAATTTTACTGGTTTCTACGTTCTCAGGAATTCGTAGAACTGAAATGAAAATCCATAGTCAAGGAGGCGGACTATCACAGACATGAGGATAGAATGGTTATAGCTGGATAAAGTTAAATTTACATGTAGAGACACAAGAAGAAGACGAGTAGTTATTCGAACAGATCTATTTTCAAGTTAACCACAATATTGTTAGTTTTTCAAACACCAATCATATAAGCTAGGGGAAGATACAAAGGAACCTCTGTTTGGCCAAACCTAACTTTATTTGCAACCAAATTAGAAATGCAATAGCAGAAAACCTAGTGAAGGCTAATAATATAATTATGCATGCATTCTGAACTTTCAACATGTGTTTTGGTTGATAAATTTTCGTGTGAAATCATCTACAGAAATTAGTTTATATGGAATGGAACATATGATAATTGTGGTTTCCAACAGACATATAAAGAGCTGAAGAAAAAGGCATAATACCATCTTTAAGTTGGGCCTGTTGCTCCAAAGCTTGAAGACGAAATTTCAACTCATTGTTCTCACTAGTAAGACCCACAGAGTCTCTCTGGACACAAGCAAATAAAACAGAGTCAGGGAACATACGATGAAGTTCAATTTCAAACAGGGAAGAGCTAGACTTTAGAATCAGAAATCCCCAAATAAATACCTACCTGCAACTTGGTAAACTGAGCAGACAAAGTGGTTGCCTCTGTCTGCAGTGTTTGCACTTTGTGTTCCAATTCTACAATGTATCGCATCTTCCTCTCCTTAGAACGCGCAGCTGACTGACGGTTCGCCAAAATCCTGGATGAATAGATCACATATGAGAAAATTCACTTAACAAGCCATCCATTAAAAAATAGATATAGGATAGAAGTTAAAAACACAACACCTCTTTGCACGCTTGGGGTCTGATTGGGCTATCTCAGCAAGTTTCTCACTTTCCATTATCTTTCTCAGCTCAATTGCATTGAACTCACCACTTCCAAACTCCATGCTGAACTTACCTGAGTTACCATCTAGGGAAGCGGAAGGTGATTGTTGGCCTGCCGGCAGGGGCTTCAGTGGTTCATCATCGAAATTCAAATTTTCCATATAACTATCCATGGAAATGCTCCTACAGTGTCGGACGTTTGGTACAACATCTCCAGTAGCAGTCCTCTTGACTCCTTCCCTCTTCTCACTTGGAAAACCAGAAGCTGGCCTCTGCCCGTTGTAACGATTTCCATTTAGACCACTTTCCACTTCATTATCACTACTCTCACCCCCATTTGTCTTTGAGCCGCTGGCTCTGCTATCCAAATCCTTATCCTCATTACCAGACGAGTTCATTTTCTCAATGTTGTCCAAATTCATGTATGCATTAAACAAGTCATCCACAACCTCTCCCCCTGATTTTCTCTCATCCATTCCCTCAGCATTTTTGTTACCATCCCTATCCCCATTTGATCCCCGTTTCACCAACTGAACTGGCTTGCCAATCCCCAAATTTTCTCTTCCAGAAGCTGATCCATCCAAACTTGTTCTACGCCCAATGGGAATCAGCTGAGGTGAAGACTGAATGACAGCTGAGAATCCTAATGGGACATCACTGTTAGAGCGCCTGTGGCCTCTACGAGGGGGAAGGCCATCACCAGCCCAAAATGCGTTGCTGTCAGTAGTAACTGGAGAACGAAGCGACGGGGCATGAGAATTAACAACAGTTTCATCCATAGAAACATCAACGGAATTTGGGTCAGAGAGTGAAGAAGACGAGGGCTCGCGGTAAGGCAAAGGGCTCAATGGGGGCAAAGAATTAAGTGAGAAAAACGAAGGCTGAGATAAGGATCTTGTATGGGAAGGCACTGAGCTCAAATTCTGAGGACCCAGTTGCCAAGAACCCGATTGAGGCCTCATGATATGCGAAAAAGGCATTGAATTGTGGTTATTGGGGTGTGAAGGAGGTATACCAGGCCTCTTACTGTTCTCAGGACTCAAACTTGGGGATGATTGGCGCATAGGCAAACCCATTTGAGCTGAATTGAAATTGGGTATCTCTAAATGGCTGTTTGGTTTAGGAACCGAAAAAGATGATGAACCAAATGTTGAATTGGGTCGTTGCTTGACACTACCAGTTTCATCACTGCCCTCCATTAAGCTCAGCTAAGCTTCCTGTGCCCGCTCTAAAGCTAAAAACCTTGATTCACCAAAACAAAAACCATGCGCTAAGTTGCCAACTAGTTGAAATGTGAATCAAAAGCCTCTAAAGCTTGAAACCCAAAACTTAAAAATGAAACCCTAGAAAATCTGAAATGGGATAAAGATTTAAGAGACAGAAAAAGAGAGAGATTATGGTTGCAGATTAGTGTTGGTTACCTGGTTGGTTATATAATCCCTAGATGACCAAGCTTGTTTCAGTAGAATGGCAAGGAACCGATGATCAAAATGTCAAAGGCGGTGATTTCACGGATTTTGGCTTGTTTTTGTTGACTACAAATACAATGTTTTGGCACGGACAGTAAACATAGCAGGACTTCAGACAAGGCCTGAAATTACAAGACGCGTTTTTATATATTCTTTTTTTTTCTTCCTTTATCACCGGCTTTTCTCCTTCTCCTTGTCTTCAGGAGAGGACAAGTGCGTGATTATTTTATAATTTAGTGAAGAAATGATAGAATCTAAAGCCACAAGCAAACAAATTTACAATCGAGTCACCAGCACAAGAAAGAAAAAAAATTATAATTTAGCAGGTCACCGAAAAATAAACAAAATGATATGCACCATCGAATAAACCCTCCAAATAAACCCTTCAAATATTTGTACAATTATTGGATACCCAAAAAGGAAAAAACTGATCAAGAAATTAATCTATATTTCTGATCTTGCAAGAATTCACCGCAATTTTCATTGAAACATAAGGAAAATTATTCCATTTATCAAAAAAGTACTTATCAAGGTTTTCTAGGTTTTAAATAGATCATATCTTTAAAAAAAATAATTAGAACAAGAAAAACGTGTAATGTGAGAATGATTTCCTAAAAATAAACTTTAGTGCAAGGTGAGAATGTCACATATAAATATTATCTTGCCAAATTGTTAAAGTAAACATAAGATGTTTATTAAGAGGTTTATAACTCAAGTGATTAAGAACATTTATCCCTTCATTTGAAATCTTCTATTTGAATCCTCCCTCCATTGCTTATTATATAATTAAAACACAACCTAAAATGTTTATAATTGTCATGATATTATGAATTTAAACAATTAATTACAACGATGGATTCATGATTTGATAATCAACTGGGCGAAACTTACACACTAAACTCAACGATATGAGTGAATAGAGTGACCGAAGTTTTCTAAGGAGGCCATATTCTAAATTGTGGCTCCCACTGTACATACACTCAACACTAAATATGTAATTTAAAAAAAGAAAAAAAGAAAAGGAATACCACTTTTGGGCTTAGAAAATATCATACATTCACTTTCACTTGAACCTAACAAAACCATTCTGAAAAGAAAAAAAAATCATTCCTTTTAGGCTTAAAATAAAATATAATATAATTTCTTAAACATTGAGGAACCTAATTCACAATTCAAAGCTCTTATTTCACAACCCCCAATTCAATTCAGAAATCCTAAGTCGACAAGGCATAAATTCAATTTATAACAACAAACCGAAATTCTATAAGAGAGACACATCACATAAAAAAGAGAGAATCATGAAGAAGATGACTAGAAAGAAAGATAAAAAGAAAAAAAAAGAAAAGTGACAGGTAGAAAGAGAAAAAAGATAAAATGTTCATTGTTTAAATAAAAGTTTCAGTCTACAAAAAAAGCATGATGGACAAAGTTTCAATGGCACAAGTGAAGCGTACTCTATAGTACAATGAAGATAGAGATATGATTTATTTATTTATTTTGCCTGGGCAAATAAAGATAGGATTTCAACATTTTTTTTACGGGAATAAACATATCTAGCTATTTGTCTTTTTTGAAAATTTTGGGTTGGGTAGCAACCCACCCCTGCCATGTAGATAGAATTGCGCCCTTGATTAATTATGTTAATTTTTATCATAATACGAGCTGAAAATGCACAGTCAGGCAATATAATTTTTATCATAACACTACTCACCACATACGTTGGATCATTAAAATTGATTGAAAAAAAAAGAGTATCTATTTGAAGTGCCCAACACATTTCGATCTTCGTTTGTTAAACAAATACTCTTGTCGGGCTGTATTTAAAATAAAAAATAAAAAATCTTTTCGGGCTTATAAAATATACTTCAATTTGGGTGCGTGGTATCTGTTTGGGCCTCAGTGTAATGAGGTTCAGTTGTTTCCCAATGAACCTTGTATCTTGTGGCCCAATAATTCTCATTTCCATACAAGACGTTCAAAGCCCACTACTCAAAACATCTTAAATCGCAGCCGTCCGATCGAAGTTCCCAAACCCAAACCCTCTCCCGAAATCTTTTATAAACGAGTCGAAGTGGTAGCTTTCAGTAGAACTGCAAAACCCTAGGGCTCACGGTAGCCGTATTCTCTCGCTCCTCAGTCTCGAGTTTCTCTCTGTGCTGTTGTGTGTTTTTCGTGTTCTGCTGTTGCTCCGCCTTATTATCTCTTTTCTTATTGTCGGTTTTCTATTTTGTAATTCAACGAAATCAGTGAGGCCAATTGATGAACATTTTCAGTTGCTGAATGCTCGGATTTCGATTTGGGCATTTTGATTCATTCTTAATTGAATAGGAAGATCTGATGCCTCTCTCGATTTCTCTCGCTTTTCTCACTCTCTTCGTTTACATTTCACACCTTTAATCTTCCGTTGCCGATTGTTCGTGGGTGTAAGAAGTTTTAAACATCTGTTATTTCTTTTCGAGTTTTGAAAGGCATTTTTAACTCTTTATTTTCTCCGTGGAAGGTTTTGCCGGTGATGACTATGTTATATTGACAGAAGCAAATAAAAATTTGCGTTTATGTTGATAAAAATTATCATGAACTAGGACGGTCTGAGGCTATGTTCAAGTTATTGAATTTTGTTTCAGTTTTTTATGACAGAAAAAAAAAACTATTGCTTTTACTTTTTATTTTTATATTTGGAATGAAGTACTCATTGTGTTTTTCTGTAATCTTTTTCGGATGAAGTGCTGTGTATGATGAGATCACAATATTAACAGTTATCCCTGTCTGACTTATGGATGCTGAAGAAATGTTATCTGACACAGCTCTTTAAAGTTTTTCTTCTTTTCCTTTTTCCTTGCATAAAATTTCGTTGCAAAAATTACATTTCATATAATCTACCAAGTTGGGTGTACCTTTCTTGTGGAGTTTGGTCTAAATTAACCTAGCAAATTGCTACATTGGCTCGACCATCCGAGGAGTAAAGTGAGAATTCACGTACTAATGGGAGGAACAGTTCTACTGGAATTACCAAATATGCCTAAAAATTTAGTACATATTTGAATGAGAACTCTGTAAAGAACCTAAAAGAATTACAAATATGCCAAAAAAGAAAGATAATTATGGACTTAGTGCTCTTAGATAATTAACAACAGAAAAATAATTTGTTCTGTTGAAATAAGGTTTTACAAATACAGGACAGAAGCCCCCAAATTTACTTGAAAGGGCGAGATTTAAGTCCTCCAAGCTAACCAAGACGATTAGAAATGGCCATTGTTTCCCTGAGCCTTTGCCTTCCAGAAAATCTCACTGCATTATCAACCCATTCAGCCGTTTCTAATGAGGAAAAAAAAATAGAGAAAATCCCTTATCATTGTTGAAGAGGCTATAGCTGGCATTGAACGTTCCTAAACCCAACTACTTCAACTGCTGATTATCAAATCATTATTTTCCCCGCCACCAAGCTGAAAAGAAAATTTGAAATGCATACATGATGTGATCACTATGTTCCCCACCCCCTACCTGTCTGTACCTCTACTGAATTTAAACTTTCTCCAGGTCTACTTGATTGTGATGTAGCGATTTGTTCCATGCTTGGCCCAGTTATCCTTTAGATCAACTGGGTTTGACAGATCATGGCCTTCAGCTGCAAGCCGGCTAAGTAGCTTGTTGAAGGCACTGCCGCTCATCTTTCGGCCACCTACTCGGGCATGTCGCTTATTGGGCACTGCCGGCAATGGGTACATTGACATTGTAGTAGTGCAACATGAGGATTGCCAACCCCCATTCCCCCACTTGTAGCACTGCCTCAGGATACCAGTGCATGAGCACACCGGTGCTGGCATGGTTGACTCATCATACGCAACCTGATTCAATCCCAGGTCCTGACATTTCCAATCAGACTTTGACACAACCAAGTGTTTGTTAACATCATCACCTCCGCCACCCATATCCTGACTGCCCTTCCACTCATGTAATTTATCAAATGTCATCTTATTTAAATCCTCACTCTCCCTCTTCACCTTCCTGGGAGATTTTGAGGTTTTCTTATTTGGTGCCGTTGTCTTGGGTTCCCTAGGTCGTTTGGGCTGTCGTGACTTTGTAGGCAAAGAAGAATCAGGTGGCATTGGGACGGAATCGCTTGTGTGCATATCCCTTGTACCATAAGAAGCTTCATTCATGTGAGGAGGATGATGTACATGCTGCTGTGGGTGGTGCATATGTTTGACCCCACGTGAAATTTGGCATCCTGGTGGACACGAAGATACATTACCATTATTCAAGGAGTTTTCCCGGTACTGAAGAGTTGCAATGGCATTGTCTCGTTCCATAATGGCACTATTCCGTTCTGCAATTGCGGCATCTCGCTGCAGGAATGCCATGTCTCGCTCTTGAAGGGCAGCTTTTTTCTCAGAAAATGCCAAATTTCTTTCTTGAAGAGCTGCATCTCTTTCGGCCATTATGGCCATTATCTGCTTCATTGATGGCTGATGTTGCATCAACCACTAAAACAAAAAGAGAGATACAAAATTTCATCAGATATGCCTCTCAAGTGAAATTGTATATACTGAATACTTCATGAAAGAGTTTATATGTGCTAGTTCACATCATATTATCTTTATGTAGCTGTGTTCAGATAATTGTTTGCGGATACCTGACCCTGAGCTGCTTTATACTGCTCTGCTTTGATTCTTCCATTTTCACGATGCCCACTATCATCCATCTGAAATCTGCAAATAGCAACAGTTGCAGACGATAGTTTTACACCTCCAACACAAGTATAATGCTCAGCTCAGCTGGTTAAATATGAAACCAACATTGGTGCTACATACCCTGCAGTTGATGTCCAAAAGAAAAAAAGTTCAGATTTCGGATGTAGCACAAATATGTAGGAGAAGCCCACAAGATACATTTTCAGAAAACAGGTCATCAACTACAGAATAAAGTCTAAACCTACTCTGACAGTCATGGATCAACTACGAAATCAATCCCTTGTTTGAAATCAGTCATGACTTTTTTACTTCAATTGATTTACAGAACATATTGATCAATCGCAGGCACTTAAAATGAACTTAACTCTTATGACCTATTCAAGAGGGGGTGCTATTACAGATTGTACTAAACCAACGTTCCATTGGAGTAGCCAAGATAGAAGAACGAACTTAAAATTGACTTCGTCCTCTGGTCAACACACGAACCGATTCTGAAACATTCAATCAATTCTTAGACGAAGACTATGATCAAATATTCAAAATCCGTAAGAACTGCAGCTTCAAACAACTTCAGTTCCTAACCAGCAGAACTAAAAACCCTAGAAATCCAAAATCTCCAATCCGGTCACACAGCAAGCTTCATTTGCAGAGTGAAAAGACAATCGCAACCAAAATCAAGCATACAGCGGCTGACGCCAAACAAATTCGAAGCTGCTCTAAAAGCACAACCTAATACCACGTTCAAGTACTAAAAAACTAAAGACGGTTGTGATGGATACAAAAGAGACCAAAACATAATCCACGAAGAAGAAAATCAGCATGGAAGAAGAGGAACAAATAAATCAGAGCTTACCAGAGACGGCGAGAGAGTGAATGAGTTTGGAGAAACCCTGGTTTTCGCGGAAGACGATGATAACCCGTGCAAGGGGAATAGTCAGATAGAAGAAGAATTTTCAACTTTTTGTGCTCTCTCATCAGACACACAGAGAGGATGTAGATGTAGACAGACTTGTTGTACAGTACTAGTGGTGTGAGGGTGGGGTTTTACCTCTCTCTTACAATTTTTTTTTCTTTTTGTTTTTTTATTTACTTTTTCCCTCTGTCTACTAATTAAATTGAAAAAATTATAAAGCGGGTTTTATTTGGTATTTATTAGTCTCTTACGTGCACATGAGCGGGTTTTATTTAGTATCTAACTAGTCTCTTGCACGCACTAATTTGCACCATTTAACTAAGAGCATCTGAGAGTTTTTAAATGTTGACTTAATTGTAGCAATAGTCCTTAACTTCATGTTGGATTCGCATATTGGTAATTGAATTTGAAAAATAGATGTTGTAGTTTCTCAACTCTACTTTCATTAGCTAGTCATATGTTACATTTTATGTCAAATTTAGGAAAAATTAGTATTTAGAATTATGAGAGAATATTTGTTTGTAGGAATTTTCTGTGTATTTCTCTCATTGTATAAGGTCATATTTATAATACGATGGAGCCTTAGTGGGCAAGTAAATAATAAATTCTTATTTATATTTACAATAAGGAATTTTGAATTAAAATAAATCAATTACAATTATAATAAGAATATTTGGTGTGTAAGGAAAGTAAGTCAATAGTTCACAAGCGGGTTTTATTTGATAAATCATCCCTTCACGATGGAGTTGTCAGTGCACCAGTGGGGAAACGTTGGAGTGATCGAAGGAGGTTGTGGAAGATTTCCATTTATATATCCCAATTTGTCTTTGCTGCAGTTATACATCTCGACAACTTGGGGCCATAAGGCATAGTTGGTGCCATCCAACAATTGATGACGATATGTGCAACAAAAGCTTCATGTGTAAGGAAAGTAAGTCAATAGTCCACAAGTGGGTTTTATTAGATGAGTCGTTCCTTCATGATGGAGTTCTCGGTGCACCAGTGGGGAAACGTTGGAGCGGTCAAAGGAGATTGTGGAAGATTGTCATTAATATATTTCAATTTGTCTTTTTCAGAGCTATACATCTCAAAAACTTGGGACCATAGGGCATAGATAGTGACATCCAACTTGATGTCAATATGTGCAACAGAAGCTTCATAGGTAATCGTCGCTAGGATCGTCATTTGAGTCTAGTTTAGGGTCGTCATCTGAGTCAAGTTCGGGGTCATCGTATGCGTCGAGTTCGAGGTTGTCGTATGAGTAGAGTTCGAGGTCGTCTAGGTAGGATCCTTATTTAGGATCCACTTCAAGGTCTGAGTTTGCATTTTTAGGAGTTGAGCCACTTGGGCACTTAACTTGGCTATGATTGGTTCAGAAGGAGAAGAGGAAGCAGTGGTGCTACCGCCATGAAGATTAAGAGAGTCATCCTCCCCTATCTTGGCGGCTAGGGTTTATAAACTATAGTTAGCAATCCTAAGATTACCGCTCTGATACCATTCAAAAATATAAGAACTATGAGAGAATATTTGTTTGTATGAATTTTTTGTATATTACTTTCCTTGTAAGAGGTCATATTTATAATACAATAGAGCCTTAGTGGCTAAGTAAATAATAAATTTATATTTCCATTTACAGTAAAAAAAAACAATAATTTAAGTAAATCAATTACAAAATCCTTGGTGTGTAAGGAAAGTAAGTCTACAAGACACACCAACATTTTTATGTTCTTTCTAATAGACGAAACCATATTTTCATCCACACCAGTCATCTTCTTCCACTTTGCTGCCCATCACCTACTTTGTTTTTTGAAGGTCGAGGGATCAGTAATGGGTATATGGTTCATAAGTCAAGGAGGAATTGAATGGTCTCAATGAAGTGGGGTCGTGTGGGAATTTGAAGGATTGTGGCTATTATTGTAGGTGGTTTAGGGGGATGGGTGGTGGTGGAGTTGAGGCTAAATGAGGTAAGGGAAGGAAGATGAAGGAGGTTGTGGATGTTGTGAATGTTGCGCACTCGTTTAGATACAAAGAGGTGGTGGGACGTTGGACTTGAAATGACTAATTTGCTCCAAAATTTAATAGAAAATCTAACACAGGACCATACTAACAAAATTGGAGTGGTTGGACTAGAGCAGTCATTTTCTGATTTCACTGATCAAAGTACGAATCAAACACAAATTCAGAAACTATTGCTACAATTAAGTCTTAAATATTTTACCGTTTGATATCTCCAAGCGAAAAACAAGAGCTGTTTCGCTTTGAATTAACCCAAAAGGAAAATAAAAAAGAAATAAATGGGCATGGCCGTCCAATTCAATGTGGCGTGGCATAGAGATTTGACCAACTTGATTAATTTTCATGGGCTCATCCGCTCGTGTGGTAAAAGGAGAAATGTGACATGGCCCAAGGGGAGGCTACGCAAACAGTACTTTTGGTTCAATAGTATTTTTCTGTGAATTACAAAACTTTCCATTATGTCCAATGTATATGCGTGATTAAAAAGAAATAATGTGGTGAAGTATGAAGATTGAAACAAAATCATATGTTTATAGGACTGCATAAAACCAATTAATTTGAAAGAATTGCAACTTTTCTGTTGGAGGGAAGAAGAATGACAATAAGCATAAAACTCATTCTTTCACTGTTTAGATACATGTACATTCTCAGAAAGCCTTACTTTTGTCGGAAGAGGAAAGAAATGGAAATCTAGAGTTCTCTGACATCTCAACCACAAGGGTGAAGTGAAATGCAGAAATGTTAATGGGTATGGGCCTTCCTCTCAATACTTGACTTACTAAGTACGAATGAACCAACTACAATGAGCAGGGCACCTGCAAACCACTGTCAAACAAGCCTTCTCATCATCAGATATGCAAAAGAAACAAGTCAAGGATAATGAACAATCATTAAAATTTATATGCAGCAACAGAAATGCATAATAGCAATCACATTTGTAGTGCTCCGAAACCGGAATGAAAATCTTTGGTGCAAACACTCCACCATTTAACAATGTCATTCGTTTATTAAATTCTATGCTTCACATTCAAAATCAAAAGCAATGCATCTTATAAGTAACTCAGAAGCGTATACTAAGAAAGCATATGAAAATGAACAAAACGGTGTGAGTTGGTCCAATATCATCAGCATGTATTGATTCACCTGAAAAGATAAGGGTTCTTTGAACAAAAGGTATCCAGCTAGACCAGAAGACAGGAAGTTTGCAGCAAAATTTGTGACAGTAGCTTGCAGAGAAGACAGAGCTTTGAGGCTGTTCACATAACATCCCCACATTGTCGCATTGAACAATATCACCAAACCATACCTAACAATCTGTTCAAACAATAACAATTACAAATCAAGCTTTCATTGACCCCAAAAAAAACAATTACAAATCGAGCAGGATTTTGCGATGTAAATCCAACGGTCTAAAATTCATCGAGTGTGCAAGGGAAAGGCACCTGAGGAGTGATGAGCTTCGCCGAAACGGCAGCCAGAGCGGCGTTCAGGCCGGCTGAGATTGCCCACGCGTACCCCTTCTTGTTGTTACCCTCCATCAAGCCACCAAACTCTTCAATTTTGCAGGGTGAAGGAAATTGGGTCGAGATGATTTTGACCGTGGGGAGCGGACGATGTCGTTTTGCCTAATCGTGAAACGGCATGTCCTTTGTTTGTTGCTCACAAGTCGCCTAGTGGACGACAAAAGTGGACGGTGGACAAGTCACGTGAGACGTGGGTAAACAAACACTTTACTTTCGGAAACGACAAGTCGTCGTAAGTTGCCACTGTTATACCAACTCGTCCGAGTTTCCTTCCCAAGACTCGTTCGGAAATACTCTCAGAAAAGAAACACAACCCGTCCACGTTGGCAATCCGTGCCTCAATTCACCATCCAATCAGCGACAGAGCACGCGGATTTAGACCTTTTCCTTCTCCAAATCGGATTTGGTGTTGAAAATTCCAAGTCCACGTTTCAACCGACTCTCCCAATCAATCGTCATACATATATAATGACCTGTACTTCCAATCTCTCTCTCATTCGCATCATTTCAATCGTGTTCCCTCAATCTCCTGATAATTGTGAAGATCCAAAACCCTAGCCTCCTTCATTTCGAAAGGTTCGATTTCGAAAGCCACATAATCCCCCGATTCCTTTGTATTTCTTATCACCCTTTTTCGTTTCTGATCGGTTCTTTGTCACTCTGATTTCAGGTTCTCTGCGAATTTTGTGATTAATTTGTGAAGAAATGGCTCGTACCAAACAGACTGCTCGCAAATCAACCGGTGGTAAGGCTCCGAGGAAGCAACTCGCCACCAAGGTGCGTTTCGTTATGATTTCGAAGTAGGCTGTTTGGCTAGATGGAAAATTATAATTGATAATCAAATTCTTTGGATCTAATTTTGGTTGTGTTTCGTTTTAATTTTGTATAGGCTGCTAGGAAATCAGCACCGACAACTGGTGGAGTCAAGAAGCCTCACCGCTACCGCCCTGGAACCGTTGCCCTTCGGTAAGTGTTTTCTCTAATTCGACGTTCCTGTTCTTGAATTTCAATATCTGAATCGTGCCCTAATTCAATTAAAATCCTCTGTTTTGATGTGCACAGTGAAATTCGCAAGTACCAGAAGAGTACTGAGCTTCTGATCCGCAAGCTGCCTTTCCAACGCCTGGTTCGTGAAATCGCTCAAGACTTCAAGACCGACCTCAGGTTCCAGAGTCATGCTGTGCTTGCGCTTCAGGAAGCTGCAGAGGCCTATTTGGTGGGTCTATTCGAGGACACCAACCTGTGCGCCATCCATGCCAAGAGGGTGACAATCATGCCCAAGGACATTCAGCTTGCTAGGCGCATCCGTGGCGAACGTGCTTAAATATGTTTACTTTGTTTTCATATTAATTTCTTAGATAATTAGGTGTTTTAGAGCAGCAGCCATTGTTACTTGTTTCTGTATAGAAGTAAGCATTTATGAACTTCTGGGCATAATTCTTCCCAAATTGTTGTATTTGCTTTCGAACTTCAGGTTGTTGATGCATATATGACTTTATAATTTTGCCCATCAATATGCTATTCTATTTTTCTTCATGAGCTTGCGTGTCTGATATGCCAATCGGGGTTGCAGAAAACGTGTACTTGTTGGAATTACACCTGTTTTGTTGTAATTTCCATCGTTATGGTACAGAAACCAAATGCAATTATGATCACTGATCGATCTGTGATGAATGGGGTTGTTTTGGTGAAAGTTGAAGCATTGTGTTTGCAGCAAGCATGGTTCTTTATACAGCCCAATTGATCAGGCTCCCAATGTCTAGTTCTTAAAGCCCAATTGATTATCCTTCTGATTGTGGTCCAAGGATTCTATGGACTGACTCCATTATTGTCATCTACTGAGCCCATTATGGGAACCGGACCCAAGTTCAGAAGTTCATGGAGAAAACGCCGCCCAGTTTAGGTAGATGGCTTGTAGTGATTGTTTTGCAGCGATAAGATAGACTTGTACCATCCATCGCTAGATAGGACTCATTTTACAACACAATGCGATAATTCATCTAAAACAGCTAGCAGACCACAATGGATAACTAGGTAGATGAACGAACTAGTTTTGTCTTTGATTCTGCAAAGTCCTGATAATTGAAGCTCGTCCCCTAGTTAACTCGTGAAAATTTTCACATGTCAGCAGCCCTTGATAATTAACAAAATAGGAAATGACTTGTATATTATATTATATATGACTTATTGTGTTGGGGTTAGTGAAGGGTGGCTTTAATTTGAAACGACAATGGACTGCAATCATAGCTAAACCTTTAGCCCATATGATTATGAACACTCACCCGTGACCTGTGTTGCGTGCGAATCCTGAAAAGACCTCAGTTATCCGTCCGTGACCCACTAGTTAGCTAGGCTCGTATTTGCAGACAAACAAACCTATCACTTTTTCCCATTCGAAATCGACAATCGTCATGTTCTGTAAACGGCTGCACAATTTTTCAATTACCAATCTATTCTCAGAGTCAGAGACAGAACCTCATCCCCACCTCTCTCTCTCTCTCTCTCTCTCTCTCTCTCTCATTACCAATTCAATTACCAATATATCTTATCTTTAGGTATTGGAGAAGAGACGCAGATCTTATTATTCACATGAATGTCATACGTTAGTGAACTCGTAATCAGGATGAGGGTTACTGCCTCCAACCAGCACTCTACCATCGCGTAGCAACACCGCTGTCGAATGGTACATCAATCGATTTCTACAGTATATAGGGTTAACTGTTTTGGGTTTTTAAATTTTATATCTCCATTTTATTATCTCGTTTTCGCTCTCAATTTCTTTGTACATTACGCTTACATGTGCCGTCTTCAATGCACGCAGCACACCCAGACAAATCACTGCAATTTGCCTCAACAAACCGACGAGACATGAGAAGTAAGTTGTGTCCTGTTTTATCTGTCCCATTCAAAAACAGATCATACTCACTGGAAGTCTTGGCTAATAAATAAAATCTTGTGGAAGGGCAGACAGCCTGCCTTATTTTGCATGTGAACACAACACACAAGAACAACAACCCACTTGCAGGAATAATACTTTTGGAGCCTCTTGTTTTTATTATCATGTATATAATATATATATATATATATATATATAAGTTGAAACAACCGACATATGGGTATGGCCTGATCTGATGGTATATCGATCGTAGCCTTGGTGTGTACATATATATATATGTAATTTGACATTTGTGGGGTGAAAATGACTCCCATGGTCCCGTCATCCCATGCATCTTTTTAACAATATTAGACGCCAAAAATCTTCAAATTAACACAAATACATCAATCGTCAGTGTGACACGGTGATGCATGTCTTACCCATGCAATGAATTGAATGCAACTAAAAATATTTAATAGACAAGAATCAATTTCGTATTGGGCGGTGTTTGCTTCAAACTAGCATTCTGTAGTGATAATGATAGCTGTTTTTTCTTAAACCAAGAAAATAAAAAGGGCCGGGCCAATGAAAAACCAAAAGTATCAGAAATATAGACAAAATCCAGAAGTTTCCTTGCTTTGGATGTCATTGGTTTTCTGAATTCACACACTCGATATACACGTCAATCATCATATGCGACTGATTACACGCAAATAACTTGTTCTGATATTATATTAAAATGTGAGTAGGTCTAACATATCATCAACGTATGGAATACTCTAACATATGTTTTCATTCGGAAAAAGACATGATTTTAATAATTTGCCTAATCATTGAATTTTTTTTGTTTGAACAGATGCTCTATAAAGTAGAACACCTTACGACAGTACAAAAAATAGCAAAAAACACTATCCAAAACCCATAAGTAAGTGACAGAGCACTAGCTGAATTTAAGACGTTGAAACATTATAGTATGATTACGTATTAAAAAAGTAAGATGGACAAGCATTATAGTCTCCTTCCAAAAAATAAAAATAAAAATATACAACTTGAAAATCGAATTGCATTTGACAATAACTAATTCCTTTTGTATTCCTAGCTTGAGTTTGTCAATGCAGGTTTTTATTTTTCTCCACTGATAACAAATTCCTTTTTAAATAAAATAAAAAAATGTATAGAAAATAACTATAACTAGCTATATATAGGGTAATACTAGGCTTACCATATTTTTATACCATATTGTGTACCGCTTTTCTAATAAAGGTGGAGCCCATCAATACAATTAGGTTCACCTCTATTAGAGATTTGATACACAATGTGTTATAAAAATGTGATAAGCCTAGTATTTTTCATCTATATATGTACTCTTCGTATTTTGTCACAGGATTTGTACCCAAATACCCTCACTTGGAATTTGCTGATGAACCACATACAAAATATAATATCCGGAAGGCGCAAGATTACCTGAGCCCGGCGTCGTCACCTGAACTTGATACGTGGATTTGGCCACATTTGTCACGCTCTCTGCTGCAAGTACAAGCAGCCTCTGGTTCATCGAGAACGAATGTGTCGTAAACGATGGCGCCACCATCGTCACCGACACCAAATTCGGCCCCACCGTTCCCGCCAAAGAAAATCGAACGGCTAGCTTTTGTCGGTAATTAATCTTAGCTTGAGACTGGGGTGCAATGATTTTGGGACGCAAATTAACGTACATAGCATCCAGATAATCAGGATTAAATGATTCTAATCTTAATTCCGTTGGGAAAAGCACGTTGGTAAATTCGTAATAAATGTGAGGATTGCTGCCCCCAACCAACACTCTGCCATCGCGTAATAACACCGCTGCGGAATGGTACATCCGCGGTATGGTTGTGGGGTTTTGCTGCTCGAATCTTGACCCGACTGCTTTGTCGGGTTGGTAAATAACCGGGTTCAAAACCGGGTTCCGCCCGAATTCCCATCCTGCAGTCCCAACCGCTGCCCCGTTGATGATTAAAACGGTGCCGTCCGGAAGCAATGTCATGTCTCCCATGACTCTAGCTTGAGGCATGGTCTCCACTACCCACTGAGGATTCGGGTCGGTTATTTTGATCCGACCGCATGTCTTTAAAGCTTCCACGAAATTCCCATTGACAGCCTTGGCATAAGATCCTTTCGGAGCCCCACCGCAGACCAAAACCTCAGCCTCAACAAACTGAGCTTGTAAGTTTTTCAATGGCAGCAACACTGCGGACCCGGTGCTCGGGTAGGACCTCGGTTCGCCGCCAGGTATTTGTGGGTAAGTTTTAACGACGACGTTCTTCACGTAGTCGAACAGAATAGCTCGATTGTTGGCGAAAATAAATAAGTTGCCATCCACGTTGAGAAAAACGAAAGGGTAAAGATTGTTTTCGACTTTGGGGTCGTTAGTCTGCACGAGGAACGGCAAACTGTGGACATTGCTAGACGACTCGCTTTTGGGATAAAACTCGTAGTTGAACTGCCGCCTGCCGCCGATGATGATCTGCCGTCCATCTGGCAGAATGTGATTGGTGGCGTACCAACGGCGAGCGGCTAAGCCGTTGTCGTACTCCTTCCAGTCACAGCCGGTGCAGGATTGGAAAATCCTGACGCGGCGCTCTCCGTCGTTGAAGCCGCCGGTCTGGATCAAGCTACCGTCTTGTGCTACGGATCCGGAGGAGCACCAGACGTCGGTCTGGACCATGAGAGGGCGGAAGGAGTTGGTGGGGACGTCGTATTCGGCTGAGTGGGCGGTGCAGTCGACTTTGAGGACGGTGTCGTTGGGGTCATTGCGGCACTGGCCTTCGGGCAGGGACAAGTTAGATTTGCCGAAGTCGGTGCGGTCAAAGAGGACGACGCGGTCGTTGTGGAGGAGTTGCATGTGCATGGCGGAAATGCCGATATTCTGTTGCAAGAGCAGCCATTTGCCACCGGCAGCGTGGGTCAGGGAGATGAGGAGGAAATGGAACAAGAAGAAGAAGAGGAAGGCAAGAATGAGATTTGGGTGCGTCGTCATTCTGTGTGTTGTGTTTTGGTCTGTTGGTGTAATGTTTTACTTGGCTTGTTGGTTGGTCTCTTAAATCCTTTGCTTGCCTTGGCATTGTGTGGGGATCGAGTGGAAGAGAGAGAGAGGGAGAGAGAGGACATAGTAACTACACACCCACATGCATGTAAACGCGTCGCGTGGGGCAGACTAGGTGTGTCATCACTGAAAATGACCCTTGTAGTTCAACACCAGCAAGCAATCCCTTCTTCTCAATCTGATATAATCTAAATGCTAGCTAGCTAGTTGAGCTCCGCTTTGAAATTCCCTTCTCGATTTGTGTTGTTTTGTTTTGTTTTTTTTCTATTTCTTAATTGCTTATTCTTTCGTTGGTTGATTGATGAAACTTATTTCCTCTTTTTCAAGGACAAATGTTAGGTGAATGTGAAATTCATCATTTTAATGCACGTAGGTGGGATTCAAATTGGGAGATGCTCTGGTTAGGTTCATATCCGAATTACACACAACTAATGTGTCTCTCTAACATTACCATCTTAAATCAATACCTGAATATAAATAATTTAATTTCATTAAAATTGATCATCACTTGCGTGCGCCGTTGTGATTGTGCATGGTTCTAACTAATATTAAACCATTAATTAGCAATAATCACATATATGATTTGGCATAATATATTAATATCCATTGCATTGCACTCTCTTTTAATTAGGTGAACGTTGGGCACATAATAAATTGCAAGTTCTTGCAACATAATAATTTTAGGGTTTCAATCATCTATGGTTAGGTAGTTAGCATGATAATAGCTCTATTTGGTTAGATTTTTCAATCATATATCTGAAAAGACGAAGAGGGGCCATTTCTAAATTCACTTTCACCAATTTGAGAAAAGTTCCGTGCTTTTAATTAACAAGCAATATGCATAGAGCTCATAATCTATAAACAAAAGCTTGAATACAACGTGCAAGGAAGAGGCTTTTAGCACAAATAGCCAGACTAAAATCATATATGAGTTGTCCTTCAATCACTTTTCTGACATCTTTTCTCTGCCTTGATTTTTCATATGTTTCGTCTGTGAAAATTTTACTTGAATTTCTTTAATGGCGTTAATAGAACTTTGTTAATGTTTAGTAATGAATTTCTCAAATTGTTGATACACATGGATTTACTTTCACTTGTTATGTTTTTACCAATTGATGTGAGGTAAAGTATGTCCTAAAGTTGCTGCCGACAATGTTGAGTTTTTTTCGGGTATGGATATGGGCCGGCAGCAGGTCGTTCCTTAATGCCAACCCTCGCTTAATCCAATCAACCTACACAAAAAACGTACTTTCCAGTACTTCTTTGGACAGCAGGAAAAATTCATACTTGATAGATACAGAATTTCTGATGATCTACGTGTGTGGCAACTTAATTTATTTTATTTTTTATGACATGCACTTGTCATGAACTTCATACAGACTTTCACTACTACAAAAAAGGAAAAACACGACGGGAATTCACCGTCGTGTATTATGTTTTCAAATGGTCGTGGAATCCACCGACATCTTTTCCATAACAAAACCACGACGGTAAATAACCGTCGTTGTTAAAACAAAAAACGTCATCAAAAAATAAAAACCGACGTCTTTGTATTGCAAAAAGACATAAAAAAACAATCGAGAATGAGAATAAACGACCAACTCTAACAAAAAAAGGTCGTTAAAAAGGAAACATATGACATATATTAACAGAACATGGCCGCAAGATAAACATACAACGACGAGAACTAAAACTTAACGCCGTTAAATAAACCTTTAACGACAAATAGAAATATGACGTCTTTACAATCATAATAGACGACGTTATTGACACATACTACGTCACAACATTTCCAACAACTGTCGTAAAATAAATTTTCCACTTCGATTTTTCTATGAATTATGACGTGGAAATAGATGTCAAGGTCATTACTTACGACGCATGTATGTACAGAGACGACGTTGAAATAAATAAACAACGTCGGTTCCAAATAAATAAGAGCCGTATTACAGAATTTATACGTCATATTTTGAAATATAATCGTTGTGCAATGACTCTAAAACGGCATCGTTTCTAATTCCACCGCCGTGTAAAATAATTTTAACGACAGGATCTGAAAATAAACGACGTGGAAAAAATGATGGGGTCATTAATTACGACACATTAATTTATAAAGACGACGTTGTCGTCTATATACAATGTCGTTACCATGAAAAAGACCGCCGTGTTTCATAATTTATACGTTTTCATTAAAAAAATTAACGTCATCTAATTCATATATCTTAACGTCGACAAATTTAATGGACTTCAAATACCATCGTGAATTCATCCTTTTCCACTTCGTTTATGAAAGAACATGCGACGTGGTAAATTCATGACTACGTCGTCTTTTGTAACGTTCAGGTTAAAGATCTCGTCTTTTAGACGTCGGTATTATGGAATTGGAGTTGTGTTATTTTGAATTACATAGCGGTTCTTTATGCTTGTCCGACGTGTTATCTTGGATAACTGTTTCACAATAGCGTCATGGTTCTTCATTGTTACGTTGCTTTAAGACGTCGGTAAATATATTGCGGTCGTTGAATGCTCCAAAACGTCGTTATTTATTAGAACAGACGTTTGTTTTTCACATTTTTATCAAAACCGTCGTGTTTGTAATCTGGAACCAGTAATTTTTGTACTGATTGTTTTGTGGCCAAAACCTGTATAATGAAAGTGAAGAAATCACATTACAATATATTACAAAATTAATGTCATACACTGCCAATTACATAAAGCATCATTCAACCCATATATCTTTACACCAATCTTGAATATTTTGACTCCCTAACTCAACCACCCCTTCATCAAATGTGTCAACATTTGGCATCCCTCTAGTAAATGGCTCACACTCAATTCTCACATCACCTAAGACATCATCACCAATAACATCATTATATTCTCTATTAGGCATTGATAACACTACCGACCAACCACGATGCATCGGGTCGTCAACAAAAAATATTTGTTTGACTTGAGAAGCCAAAACAAATTGGTCATTCCTATGTCCAATTTTACTCAAATCTACAAGGGTAAATCCAAGTTCGTCCACTACAAGACCAGAAGTATTATCTATCCAATCACACCTAAAGACTGGGATTGTAAACTTTTGGTAATCAAGGTCCCAAATTTCTTGAATGACACCATAGAAACCCATATTTGAGAGAATTGGGTTTTTATCCTTGGCATTAGCAACTTGCATAGTATGTGCAAGTAAATAAACTCCACTATTTTGAGTTGTCCGCACATCATCTTGTGCCTTGATGTTGAATTTAATACCTTTAATAAGATAGCTCCTATATAATGGCACTGCCATGTTTGGACCAGCTGCTAGCCACCTTAAATTTTCTGATACGCCATGATCATTAAGTTCACTTTGAACCTGCAAATTAATCATAACTTAATTCAATTAACATAGAAAGAAGAAAATTAAAAGAAGAAGAAAATTAAAAGTCCAATATGTTATTCAATAACATATACCTTGAAGCGTAGCCATTGAATGAAAGTGCTATTGTGCTTATCCTGCAGCCACTTTGTTCTCTTTCTAAATTTTGGATAAGCGGTCTTGATGTGGATCATATGTTGCCTACATGACACAAAAATTCAAGTATTACGGTCCCAAACATATAAGATAAACATAAGAAATAATTTAAAATTGAAACTTAAAGAATAAAACTCATACGTACTCGATATAAGGTAGGACTTCCTCCGTTTTCTCCAAGACATATAGATGTGCTTGGTTCAACAGGTCCCGATCAACTACGCTTACTGTGCAACCTGATAATGGATTTGAAACTCCCATCTTTTGGCTTGAAGGCACTCCAATTGTACTAACATCAGATAAATGCTCGGTACAAAACTCTACAGCTTCTTCAGCTATATACTGCTCAGCAATGCAACCTTCGGGACGAGTACGATTCTGAACATACCCCTTTAGCACTTTCATATATCTTTCAAACGGATACATCCATCTAAAATATACTGGCCCACATAGACGAACTTCTCTGACAAGATGTACTACTAGATGAACCATGATATCAAAGAATGAAGGGGGAAAGTACTTCTCAAGCAAACACAAAGTAACTACTACATCTTCTTCCAACTTATCTAGCTTGGAAACATCAACAGTCTTTGCACATATAGCATTGAAGAATAAGCACAAACGAGTTATTGCATACCTTGCAGGCTTCTCTAAAACAGAACGAATTGCCACAAGGAGCAATTGTTGTATTAAGGTATGACAATCATGTGATTTAAGGCCAAGAAGTCTTGAATCTTGTAAAGATACAAGATTTTTATATTTGAAGAATAACCTTCAGGGACCTTCATACCATAGAAAGAATTGCAAACCTCTCTCTTATCTGCTCTTGACAAATTCCAAGGCCCGGGAGGCAAACGAGTACGTCTTTCTCTATACTCGGGTTGCAAATCAGTTTTGACCCTCATGTTCAATAAATCTAATCGAGCAGCAATCCCATCTTTATTTTTTCCAGGGATCTCCAGCAATGTACCAATGATATTATCGCAAACATTCTTCTCAATGTGCATAACATCTAGGACATGCCTCACAAGAAGGTATTTCCAATACTCGAGATCAAAGAATATTGATTTCTTCTTCCAACAAACTCTATCACCATCTTCAACAATATGCAACACTTCTTCTCCGGTTAATGGCTCAGGAGGGTGCCATATTCAGGTTTCCCATTAAAAGCTGCACGTTGCCTCCTATATGGATGATTGATTGATAACCATTTTCTATGCCCAATGTAACAAATTTTGTGGCCATTTTTCAACCTGTGACTAGGTGTATCATCGCCGCATATTGGACAAGCTTTATATCCTTTAACAACACAACCATATAAGTTTCCATAGGCGGAGAAATAATTAATTGTTCACATTAATGCAGCTCTGAGTGTAAAGTATTCTCTATTATGTGCATCATACACTCCTCAAATCCCATCCCACAAAGATTTTAAATTATCAATCAAAGGCTCCAAGTAGACGTCTATATCATTTCCGGGCTGTTTAGGACCGGAAATCAATAAGGTCAACATCATGAACTTTCGTTTCATGCACAGCCATGAAGGGAGATTATATGTAACTAAGATAACTGGCCAGCAACTATATCTGCTACTTAGAGAACTGTGGGGATTGAATCCATCAGATGAAAGAGCCAATCTCAAGTTTCTCGGCTCATTACCAAACTCGGGCCATTTATCATCAAGAAGTTTCCAAGACGGGGAATCCGTCGGATGAGACATCTGACCGTCAATTGATTTTCTAGAAGCATGCCAAGTCAAACTCTTAGCTGTCTCATGTGATCGAAACATCCTTTTAAACCTTGGAATTGGAGGAAAATACCACACCACCTTTGCTGGCACACCCTCTTTCAAGATTGAATCTTTGCCTTCCTTCCACCTTGAGATACCACAAGTAGGACAATTAGTTGAATCCTCATACTCCTTTCTATACAAGATGCAATCATTGGGGGCATGCGTGCATTTTCTCATAACTCAGCCCAAATGCACACAAAGTCTTTTTTGCCTCATACATAGAGGCCGGTATTGTATTTCCTTCTGGAAGCAAATCGCCTTGAAATATCAATAATTCTGTAAAACAGACATCACTCATCCCATGTTTTGCCTTCAAATTATACAACTTCACTAATGCCGATAACTTCGTGTACTTTCTACAACCAGGGTACAATGGTTGATCTCCATCCCCAATCACATTGGCAAACTCATAAGGATCAGATCCAAAATCATTATCATCCATCTCTATTTCTTCAGACACAAAACTGTACCTACTATGGTCATCATATTCTTCAACATTTCTACTAGCATTAGTAGTTGCTTCCCAAGGTTCTCCGTGAAATGTCCAATTCTTATAGCTTTGGTAAACTCCATTAAAGTATAAGTGATCCCTTATAATTCAAACCCCAAACAATTTCAAATTAACACATTTAACACATGGACAACGGATATGTGTTGTAGTTAGAAGATTTTCTACAGAAAAGTTCAAAAATGCTTCCACCCCTAACTCATATGCCTTCGATCTTCTATCCGAGTGCATCCATGACTTATCCATTTCCGACACTATACCCTATTATATATAATAAAGTGAAAAGACAAACAATGACCATCACTATAGCAGATTATATAAAGTTCTAATAGCAAGTAATATACAACACAGACGACAGTTTTTAAACAAAAACAGATGTATTGACATATATAGACGACGGATTTTCAACAAACGTCGTCTAATTATAACCACGACAGTAGTTAAATAACACCATCGTGTATAAGTAATACAAACAACGATTTATGAAAAAATCGTCGTCGTATGCCTAAAAACGCGTCGATATCCCAGTTTATTGTCAAGATCCCAAAACCCTATTAAGAACACAACATATACATGAAACCAAGCATGAAACCAACATATACATGAAACCAAGCATGAAACCAACATATACTAAGCATGAAAACAATAAATCCATTCCCAATTCAACATAACAGAGAGTGATTAAAAGATCCGACAAAATTAAATCCATTCCCTATTCAACATAACAGAGAGTGATCAAGAAAACATTAAACAGAAAATCCATGAACCTATACCTCCAACAACATTATTAATATATCGCAAAACATATATCTAAAACCCTTTAACAAAACAACGTAATATCATTCAATGAATTTACAAGGGGAAGAGAGGGTTTGTACTTACATGTTGGCAGAGCTCACAAATTATGGCCAAATTGGATTCGACACAGCCTGGAGAGCCCAACTTTGAATTAGAGATGAAGTGAGAGAGCGAAATGTTATGTTGCGCGAAATCTGAAAATTTTAGGGTTCAGGGTTAGGAGTATAAAACTAAAAGCCAAATATGAAAATTTTAGGTCCCGCGAATATTTTTAGAAAGCGCGCTCTTTAAAACATCGACCGAAAAAACAACCGTCGTTAAAATTTCACATTAAACATGACGCTTATTACATTAAAGACGTCGTGGTAAAACTATGTACGACGCAAAATCAAACAGAAGTCGTCAAAACTATGAAAAACCATGGCGAAAGTTCTACCAAAACCGACGTAAATATAGTATTCCACGACTCAAACACTGAACATAACGCCGTTTATTTTGAAGAAACCACGTCGTCTATTGAACCAATAGGAGTTGACGTTGCATTTTTTTGATTTATTTTAAATTTATTTTGAATATTTTGAATTAAAAATAATAAAATATTCTTATATCAACAACAAACCACGTCGGGGTTAAGTAATTAACGACGTTGTAAATAATAATAAACGACTCACTTGTAAAAATAACGTCGTTTAAAAGAGAAACCATGGCGGATTTTTCACCATCCGACATAAACTCAATATTCCACGACTCAATCACCGTCGTTAAAAGTAATACCCTAAACTTTAAAACCCTAAATTATATATTTGTAAAATATAATTTTATAAAATTGTTTATGGTTTTACAGCCTAATATATAACAAATATAAACCCTAAACCCCAAAAATTATACTTTAACCCTAAACCCTAATAAATAACAACCCTAAACCCCAAACCCCAAACCCCAAACCCCAAACCCTAAACCATCAAACTATATAAGTGATGTTATGACTCATCAAAACAATTTTATTTTGGGTGGTCATTTTAAACTTTTATTACTCAAACTGCATTTTTTTGAGGTTTAGGGGGAAGAAAATATATCAATGACTTCATAGGAGTTGACGTTGCATTTTTTGGATTTATTTTGAATATTTTGAATTAAAAATAATAAAATATTCTTATATCAACAACAAACCACGTAGGGGTTAAGTAATTAACGACGTTGTAAATAATAATAAACGACTCACTTGTAAAAAGAACGCCGTTTAAAAGAGAAACCATAGTGGATTTTTCACCATCCGACATAAACTCAATATTCTACAACTCAATCACCGTCGTTAAAAGTAATAACCTAAAATTTAAAACCCTAAATTATATATTTGTAAAATATAATTTTATAAAATTGTTTATGGTTTTACAGCCTAATATATAACAAACATAAACTCTAAACCCTAAAAATTATACTTTAACCCTAAACCCTATTAAATAACAACCCTAAACCCTAAACCATCAAACTATATAAGTGATGTTATGACTCATCAAAATAATTTTATTTTGGGTGGTCATTTTAAACTTTTATTACTCAAACTATATTTTTTTGAGGTTTAGGGGGAAGAAAATATATCAATGACTTCATAGGAGTTGACGTTGCATTTTTTTGATTTATTTTAAATTTATTTTGAATATTTTGAATTAAAAATAATAAAATATTCTTTTATCAACAACAAACCACGTCGGGGTTAAGTAATTAACGACGTTATAAATAATAATAAACGACTCACTTGTAAAAGGACGTCGTTTAAAAGAGAAACCATAGAGGATGTTTCACCATCCGACGTAAACTCAATATTCCACGACTCAATCACCGTCGTTAAAAGTAATAACCTAAACCCTAAACTCTAAATTATATAATAAACGACTTACTTGTTCAAAGGACGTCGTTTAAAAGCGAAACCATGACGAAATTTTCACTAAAACGACGTCCCATGTACGTACAAACGGTATATCACGTCTAAATATCATTTTACATCGGTTTTTGACATAATTATGTCGTTGGAAAGTTATTACACGTTGGTTACGCAATTTATTTTTTCTTTTAAATTATGAAAACCTCAACATTTTATCAGGGAAAAAAAGGACGTATATTATAGACAAAATTTGTACATATAAAAATATCAAGTGTTCCAAAAATCCTCTATTCCATATGAAGGCAAACAAGATCTGCCCATTCATTCCGGACTTCATCAATGCCTATTCATTCCCTTGGCAAACTGCAATCCATAAACAATGATTATTAAGCTTTACAAAATAAAAAGAAATTCAGTCACAGACGACGCTTTTTTCATAACCGACGTAGTATATCGATTCAACGACGGTAATTTTAAAGGACCGTCATTGATAATACAAAAAACCACATAAAATGTTTCTGAAAATTTTCTTCTTACCTTCTTCTCAAACTCCAGGGAAGGATCCATGATGATGTCCCTCATGAAGCGCATCACATAATACCCGCATTCGACACTGCTTTACGGCCTGGTCTGCCTATGTGGGAATTATAAATTTTTAAAGCACTGTTCACGATGATTTTGCCCTCTTCATCAACCACACGATTTCCAGGCAGAGAATCCAGAAAATAGACGGTTTCCCTCTTTGCTCTCACAATCAACAAGTCCCAATGACGGCTGCATAAAATTAACATAAAAAACGATGGTTAATATAAAAAGTCAGCACAAGAAAACAAACGACGGTTATTTATAAAAACCGACGTATTATAGAGTTTCACACGACGTAATAACGTAGCAATCGACGTCATTATAAATTTATCACGACGGTAATTAACTACCGACGTGGTTAGTTGTTTCAAACGACTCAATAAATAAAGAACCGACGTGGTTAGATGTTTCAAACGACACAAAATTAGTTAAACAGTTTTATAAGAGGTCAGTTAGTGAAAATCATACAAACAAAATCCTTTTAAGGAGACTAACCCTGGATTGTAAGGCATCATGAAAATCTGTTCACCATCTGTTTTCTGAAGTCGACTGGCTACAATTTGTGATCTGTCAGTTAGTGACCCAGCGTTGGCACTAACTTGAGCAGGGTCGATAAAGCCAACCATGCTACACATATTTGCTTCTCTCAAACGATCATATAAGCACCTAAATATATAAAACAAAGATATATAAAAAAAGTCAGCCCAAAAAAAACACGACGGTTATTTATAAACAAATGACGTATTATACAATTTCACACGACGAACTGAAATAGAAACAGACGTTATAACTAATTTATCAAACGACGCAATAAATAAACCACCGACGTCTTATGCTATAATGTTTATTTTTTTTCTCAAACACAAATTTGAGTGTGAATTAAATATTTGATAAGGACAAACCTCATATATACTGCAACCACAGTAGCCCCAATTTCTTCCATGCCTGCAAACTGTGTAATATCTTCATGCAAGACGAAGGTACTGCGATCTGCACCAAACACCTCCTTCTCAATGTTGAAGGTCATGATCTTCCCCTGTGGCTTTAGTGTCGTTTCCACATAACGACAAAGGGATTGTAAGGAAGATGGCACCTCCACATTTGAATAATCAACTACTTCATTACCCTGTTTAAAGAAATAAAGCAAAATAAAATGACGTGGTAATTCAATAAAAACGACGGTTTAAATAAAAAAACGTCGTCTGATAATAATTTAAACGACGGTAATAAAAAACCGTCGTGTTAAATAATTTATTACGTCATAGAAAACAAATTCCGACGTCTAATTTGAAAACAAACGACGGTTTAAAGAAAAATATCGACGTCTGAAATTTGAAAAACAAATAAAAAAAGGCAAAATTATGAGAATATACCTCTTCGTCATGCTTTTCTTCATCTTGTTTTTCTTCTTTCTTCTCTTCATCATTTTTGTCTTCCTTTTTGTCTTCATCTTTTTTTTCTTTTTTTTCTTCCTTCTTCTCTTCATCTTTTTTTTCTCCCTTCTTCTCTTCATCTTTTTTTTCTTCTTTCTTCTCTTCATCTTGATTTTCTAAAGCCCCAGATTTCTGTTTTAAGTAATAAAGAAATATATATATATATATATAAGACATATTGTACAGAAAGTAAAAAAATTAAATCAAAACGTCGTGGTAAGGCATAACATAAGACAGTATGTAAGAATTATGGACGTCTTAAAATTATTAAACGATGGTAAATAATAAACGTCGTGGGATTTGTCTATTACGTCGGTATGGACTAAAACCGTCGTCTAAAAACCACAAAGTACGACGTCTAATGGTGTGTAAAACAAGTAAACTAAATACGATGTGGTATTTAAATACAAACGACGGTTTATTTATAAAATCGTCGTGGTATGGTTTTAAAACGACGGGTTTCTTCATAATAACGACGTCTAATAGTTTTTAAAAAAACAGAGAATTCAAAGTTCAGATATGTTACCGTTTCTTCCTGCTGTTCCCCATTTTTGGCAGTATCATCCTCTAAATGTAGGGATCTCACATCAGCCCCAGAACAGCTTGCTTTGTCAGACATTGGATTTTTGGGACTTTGCTCTAGACCTTGGTTTTGAGAGGGGCTAGTTTTTGTTTTAAGCATGCTTGGATCAAAATTGGGGATGAGTTGGGAAAGCTGACTTAGTAAATGTTCCTTCTCAGCCTCTACCATTTGCTTGGTTCTAGCCTCCATCCTTAAAGTCTCTTCCCTTGATCTAGCTTCCATCTTCTTAGTCTCTTCTTGAAGGACAATTCTTACACTTTCCTTCAATTGATCGGCAAACTTTATGCTCTGTTGTCTAGGTAAATTGAAGAATTGCCTAGGGGAAATCCCAGCACCTACCCCTCTTACTCTCCTTGGATGCTCGGGACCCAAAGCCAAGGTCAACACATCATTACTGCCAGATACACTAAGACTGCCTTCAACCACTTGTTTTTGCAATTCATCCTAAAACAAAGACATATAAAAAAGTCAGTAGAAGAAAATACATAACGGTTATTTATAAACAAACGAAGCATTATATAATTTCACACAATGCAATAACATAGAAATCGACGTTATAATATATTTATAACGACGTTACTTAAATAACGACGTGATTAGTTGTTTCAAACGACGCAATAAATAAACCACTGACGTCTTATGCTATAATTACAGAAAACATAGCAGTGATTCCATATTCAGACCTTTAACTACGTTTTTTAAAACATTTCTACGTAGTAATATCATTCACACGACGTAAAAATTAACCACCGACGTCTTATGCTATAATTACAGAAAACAGAGTTGTGATTCTAGATTTAGATCTTTCACGACGTTTTTTAAAACATTTCGACGTAGTAATATCATTCACATGACGGAAAAATATAACATAAGACGTAATAAGAATTATACACAGTTTAATAAAAATTTAAAACAGAGTGTGTAGGCTTACAATTAATTTTGCTTTCTCTGCCACCTTTGGATCCGGGATGTTACCATGTTTGTCCTGTCTAGCTTTCTTCCATAAGGTAGATCGATCAATTTCTACCCCAGGCATGGTTTCCTCCAATTGATCCTCCAAACCAGCATATCCTTTTCGAGACAATCGATGATTGTACTCAAGTTTCTCCCTAATCTGTGAATGTTGAGAATGCACAGACTCAAATTCTTTGGATAACCTTGAAGCTACAAAGGCATCCCATTTTGCTTTCTCTATGAATTTATATATTTCAGGGGGTTGGCTTAATTTCTCCCTCTCCTTGATGTATGGAAGGATATAATGCCTCGTCAGTGTAGACTTGAAATCTTTCCATTTCTTGGCAACAGAAGATAACACCGAGGTCTTGCCCCCTTGATCTACCACAAAAGCCATGTCAACGGCTTCCCAAATCTGCTCCTTTATATCCTTGGGGATTTCAGTCCATTTCTTGTCCACAAGTGGGACTCTGGAGCGTGCCAACAAACCAATGTAGGACTGCATCTCAGTATGTGCAGGACCACATCCTTTTCCCCTTTTATTGTACTAAAAAACTGGCTTGATTTTCTGCAATTTTCTCTTCACAACACGAGGCATTGTGCTCATACCTCGACCTGACTTTGAATCCTCAGAAATTTTTGTCGTGCTGGTTGGTTCTGTCTTAGCAGATGAAACAAATTTCATCTTCTTCAAGGGCTTGTCTTGAGGAGTTACCATTCCAAGCTCCTTACCTCCATTTTTTTTGGAGCTAGAGTCCTTACTTTGGTCTTGAGAAACCATAGTTACAGAAAAAACAAACCTGCAAGTGAAAATATTTCAGGAAAAAAATAAGAACACAAACGACGGTTATTTATAAAATACGACGTATGATAAGATTTTACACGACGCAATAACATAACATCAGACGTAATAAATGTTTAAAACGAGAGTACTTAAACAACGACGAAACAATATTAAAGAAGACGTAATAAGAACTTATTACGGCGATATTTACACGACGTCGTGATATTCAAATTCACACGACGTAAATATTAATATAACGTCGTGTTATGGACATTCACACGACGTAAATAATAAGATACCGTCGTCTTTATAAGAATCCAAAAACCTTTTTCTTTCTCTGTGAATGTTTGATTGCAGGTTTAATTTCTCTGAAACATGGTTTTTGTTTTTCCTAATTTGATAAAATACAAAGAAAAAGAAAGAAAGGTTTGACATCTTTTATAGACGACGGTATCTTAGTATAACGTCGTGGTATGAACATTCACACGGCGTCAATAATAAGATACCATCGTCTATATAAGATACCAAACCCTACTTTCTTTGTCGTTGTATTTTATCAAATTAGGAAAAACGAAAATCATGGTTCAGAGAAATCAAACCTGCAATTAAACAAGCAAATAAAAAATCGACCATCATTTTAAAAACAACTTAGATCAATTTTAAGATGACGCTAGGACGACTGACGAACCGTCGTGGTCTACATATTTAACCACGTAAATAAGAAGCTACCGTCGTCTTATTTAGTTGAAGTAGTTGTGTTCAAAGTTGGAAACTTTCCCTCTTTGTCTGTGTATTTTATCAAACTTGGAAAGAATAAAAATGATTTTCGCCAGAAAAAAGGTAAAAAGATTTTCAAAACAAAAACCGTATGAGCATGAAAAATAGCAACAAAAATAGTGAGAAATGAAAGCTTATGTTTTGCATGCAATGAAAGCTTTCTCTCGGAGTTTGGTGTTTAAGTTCAGAGACGACGACGAAGACGAGAGGAAGACGATGAGATACTCTGACAAGGAAAAAAGTCGAAAAGTTTTCTCTGAGAGATTGAAATTTTTTCTCGAGTTTGAAAACAGTGCATGTGTAAGTCAGGTAGACGAAAAGTTGTATATATATACAAACCGTTTCATAGTAATAAGAGGGCGGTTTACATAGAACGACGACGTATAAATAAACAAACTACGATAATAATTTGAACTTTGGACGTGGTAAATAAATACGCAGTAGTGTTGTAGGTACCGCCGTAGTAAACTCCTAAATAAAAGTCGATAAATCAATATCTCGCGTTATGGTAGAAGTATTTAACACGACGGTTTTTTGTAATTTACCGACGTTTATTTTTATAATATACGTCGTTTTTTTGCAATATACCGACGTGAAATTTATAAATAGACGGCGGTTTTGTGTAAGGACCGCCGTGAGTTTTAAAAATTTATTGTATAAATTTGTCGCTTTCTTTCAGTTTCAGTTTTCATTTAGGTTTCCAAGTTCTTCCTCTCTCACAGACACTCTCTCTCACATCTCGAAGACAATAATTTGGATGTCTTTCTCAAAGAGAAATGGAGCTTACTCTCCAACAAATCTATGTCCACAAGAGGAAGCTTCTCAATCTTGATAGGAGACTTAGTGCTTCTGAATACTCCTTGCTTTCCATCAAAAGAGATGCAAGCCTGGCCTCCACTCGCTGTCGAAGGAAAGTTCGCTTTTCAAGGAAACCTGAAGATCAGATGTGAGCCTCTGCTCGATTTTCTTGGCTAAGAAGATCCGTCAGGTTTGTGATAGAAGAAAGATGGGTTATCGACATTAGTGAAGAAGATGTTCCTTTATCCGTAGAGCTTCTGAAGAAGAAGATGAGTTTTCAAGAATGCGATAAAGAATAGAAATGGTTTCAGATTGCCTCTAAAGCCTGAGCAATTGAATCAGATGGCTTCAGCTGTCAATGCTTTGAAACTAAGACGACGCAATATTTTTTTCGCGACGTGGATTCGTTTTAAAACGTCTTATGTGTAATATAACGACGTGGATTTTATTTTTATAATTATAAATAGAATTTTTTTTCCCGAGGAAATTAATGTTCTAGAATTTGTAAAGTTTCTTTTTTGGGTGACTGATTTAAATCAAATACGAATATAAAAACAACGACTGTTTGTTGTTATACAGTCATCTTTTTTTAAACTAAAACGACGCAATATTTTTTTCGTGACGTGAATTCGTTTTTAAAACGTCGTTATGTGTAATATAACAGACGTGGATTTTATTTTTATAATTATAAATATAATTTTTTTTCCCTTGTTCTTTCAGTTTATTTTTCAAAAACAGTGCCTTATAAATAGAGTTTTTTTTCCCGAGGAAATTAATGTTCTAGAATTTGTAAAGTTTCTTTTCTGGGTGACTGATTTAAATCAAATACGAATATGAAAACAACGACTGTTTTTTGTTATTCCGTCGTCTTTTTTTGTCGTCTTAAGTAAGACTAAGACGACGTAATGTATTTGTTCCCCGACGTGGATTATTTTTGTTAAACGTCGTTACGTGTAATATAACCGATGTGGATTTGGTTTTTTAATTATAAATAGGGTTTTTTTTTCACGGGTGCTTTCAGTTTTAGTATTCGATTAGGGTTTCAACTTCTTCTTGCCCCTTTCTCTCTGATTGCGAATCTGTGGCTGCCGTCGTGAAGTTTTAGGAGGCAATTGTTTGGATGTTGATGTGTGTGTGCGTTTGTGTAGATACACAAAAGCACACACATTGTCAACTTCCAAAAAATTGTCTCTCTGATTGCAAATCTGAGGCTGCCGTCGTCAAATTTCAGAAGCAATTTTTTGGATGTTAATGTGTATGTGCGTTTGTGTATCTCAAAGACACAAATACACATACATCATTAACCTCTAAAATATTGTCTTTCTGGTAAGATTATGATGAGGAACAGAGTTCCATCTTGTAAGATTTCCTAACCCTTGTGATCTCAGAAAAATCTGATTATGTCGGCGGTTTTCCATATAAACCGTCGTGGTTATTTCAATTCTTGTCATTAAGTATATCTACCGACGTAGGATAACAAAATCCAAGAAATAAATTGTTAAAAAAAATTCTTATTCAGACGACGGTTTAAATATAATGTATGACGTATAAAGTGAATAAATACGACGTTAAATTGTATAATACGTCGTTAAATGAAAACCCCAACGTGGTGAGATTTAAAGATACCGTCGTTGAAATACGAGAAAGACGTCGTTATATTTATCTTTGCTGTAGTTGTACATTAATTTAATACGGCGGTATTTTGTATTTTACCGCCGTAGATTTATTTGTAATTATACGGCGCCTTATACGAAAACTTGGTTGTGTTAATTTGTAGGTAAAAACGGCTGCTTGTTTTGAAATCGTCGTCTTTACTTTCTACGTCGATCGGTTCATAACTTCCGCCGTTATTTGTTGGCTATGATTTTACCACTTGGAAATCCTATTTCAATTAGACGTCGGTTTTTTAATTAGGTACGTCGTGTTTTAGGAACAACCATTTGAATCTCCATTTGACATCTTGCTTTTGAGATGTCAAAAATAACATCTCAACCTCCAACCTTCATTCCACATCAGATTTGACATATCGGTTGGAGTGATGTGAGATGTTATTTATAGCTGTTAAATTTCTATGTGGCACTTTTGACATATCGGTTGGAGATGCTCTCAGAGTTCTGTGGGGTTAATTGTCTTGATTTGTATTTTGTTCTTCACTTAAATTCAATTTCTGTGTACAAACAATGTGGCGCTTAAATTTAATTTTGTTTCGTTCTTCCTTCAATCAAATTCGCCTACAAACTGAGACGGAGACCATCACTGCAATTTGGCTTAGCAAATTGAATTGACAGAGTAAATGATAGCTGTTTCCTAAACCAATAAAATAAAATAAAGAAACAAAGACAAAATCACTTTGTCGCAAAAGATATATATTCATTTCAGGAATTAAATTTCATATGTGGAGAATTCATGGAATTGAAAAGTAAGTAGGGTCACACAAAATTAGGAATTGAATTCCTGATTGTGGAGGAATTCAATTCTTGAGTGAGATGTGGTATTATAATTCATAGAGAACTAACTCATTATGAATTCATCTTTTTAACCCATTATATCCTCACACAATTTTCAAATTTTCAAATTTGCCATATACTTTAATCAAACAACGATGACATTTTAGTAATTAATATGAATCCTACCCTAATTTCATATGGTTTAGTAAAAAAACTTTAATAGGAATCTGGAATCTAACTCCCCTCAATTCATATGGTTTAGTGAACAACTTCAATAAGAATTCGGAATCTAATTTTCTTCAATCCAACTCCTCCTCAATTCAATTCATCTCAATCCAATTACATATTAATAAACATGCCATAAATACCAAATATTCCACCATTTTCAATTTCTTAATTATCAAACTATCATGTATTTTGCTTGACCAAAAAAATAAGTGTCGTATATTTTAAATTAATAAGATATCAAAGAATAATAATAATATAAATGCCTTACTTTAAGACGTGTTGAAACAATGCACTGTCGAGAGTACTATTTCAAGTATGATTACGCACTAGCGCCAAAAGATTTAATAAAGACAACTTATCCTCCAACTTTATTCATGATCAATCAGTTTATAATAACTTAATCTTAGCAAAAAAAAAAAAAAAAAAAAAAAAACAAAAACAAAAACAAAAAACAACATGGAAAATGTAATCGATCAAATAATATTGACACAGAAATCCCTAGTGATCTCTGTTCGTCAAGATTTTTAACTTGTGATTATAACTTAAAAGAAGGGGAGGAAGCAACTATACCTGTATCATGTTTATGTATTTCGATCTTTTTTTGGTCGAATGTACTCTGATCTTTTGTCACATAATTTGGATCCAGATGCCGTCACTTGGAATTTGCTGATGAACCACATACAAAAGATAATATCCTGAAGGCGCAAGATTTCCCGAAGCGGGCGTCGTCACCTCAACTTCATACGCGGACTTTCCAACACTCGTTACGTTCTCGGAAGCAAGAACCAAAGACCTGTGATTCATTGAGAACGAATGTGTCGTAAAAGACGGTGCCACCATCGTCACTGACACCGAATTCGTTGCTAGCGTTCCCGTCACGGAAAATCGAATGGTTAATTTTTTACCGTAATTGATCTTAGCTTGTGATTTCGGTGAGACGATTTTGGGACGCACATTTGTGTACTTAACGTCCAGATAATCAGGATTAAATGCCTCTACACTTAACTCCGTTGGGAAAATCACGTCAGTGAACTCGTAATCAGGATGAGGGTTACTGCCTCCAACCAGCACTCTACCATCGCGTAGCAACACCGCTGTCGAATGGTACATCCGCGGGATGGTGGTCGGGTTCTGCTGCTCGAATCTTGACCCGGCTGCATTATCGGGTCGGTAAACAACAGGGTTCAACACCGGGTTCCGCCCAAGTTCCCAACCCGCTGTCCCATTTGACGCACCATTGATGAGCAAAACGGTGCCGTCCGGAAGCAATAACATGTCACCCATGACTCTAGCTTGAGGCATGGTCTCCAAGACCCACTGCGGGTTCTGGTCGGTTATTTTGATCCGAGCGCATGTATTTAGAGCTCCCGTAAAAGTACCCTTTGTTGCCTTGACAAAAGACCCTGTGGGGGCTCCACCACAAACCAAAACCTCGGCCTCAATAGACCGAGCCGTTAAGTTTTTTAATGGCAGCAACACAGCTGAGCCCGTGCTCGGGTATGACCTCGGGTCGCCTCCGGGTATTTGCGGGTAAGTTTTAACGACGTTGTTCTTGACGTAGTCGAATAAAATAGCACGATTGTTGGCGAAAATGAATAAGTTGCCATCCACGTTGAGGAAAACAAAAGGGTAGAGATTGTTTTCGGCGTCTGGGTCATTGGTCTGCGCGAGGAACGGCAGACTGAAGACTTTGTTTGTAGACGCGCTCTTGGGATAAAACTCGTAGTTGAACTGCCGCCTTCCGCCGATGATGATCTGGCGTCCATCGGGCAGAATATGATCTGTGGCGTACCAACGGCGAGCGGCTAAGCCGTTCTCGATCTCCTTCCAATCACAACCGGTGCAGGGCTCGAAGATCCTGACGCGGCGCCCGCCGTTGATGAATCCGCCGGTTTGGATGAGGCGGCCGTCGGGGGCAACGGAGCCAGAGGAGCACCAGACGTCGCTTAGCAAGGTGAGGGGGCGAAAGGTGTTGGTGGTGACGTCGTACTCTGCGGAGTGGGCGGTGCAGTCGTCTCCGACGCATTTACCATCGGGAAATGACAAGTTGGAATTGCCGAAGTTGGTGCGGTCGAAGAGGACGACGCGGTCGTTGTGGAGGAGCTGCATGTGCATGGCGGAGATGCCGATGTTTTGTTGCAACAGTTGCCATTTGCCTCCGGCAGCGTGGGCCGGAGGAGAGATTGAGAGGAGGAGGAGGAGGAACGTTGAAAGAATGAGAGTTGGGTGCTTCATTCTTTGTTTCTTGTGTTTTGGTGTTTTTGAATCTCTTAAAAGGGTGCTTTTGGCGCTGTAAGTTGGTTGTAATTGTCTCAATGGCTGGCTGTCTTTAAATACTCGACGGAATGGGAAGACAGAGCCACCGGCATCGCATGCATGACGTATGCAACGGAGTGGGACCCACAAGGTTTGCGCTTAATGAAAACGACTGTTGTTATAGTTGAAGAAGAGAGCAAAGCTACACACAAACACAAAATCGATCTCATCTCACTGAGTAGGAATGCTAGCTAAGCTTGCTAAGCTAGGTCTGCTTTGACTTCCATTCTTTTGTTTTTAAATCATTTGATTCGTTGGTTGGTTGATGAGTCTTTCTTTTCTGTTTGTACATGTACATATGGTAAATGTGAATATTCATTTTAAGATATGTTAGAAATAAGGCTTAATAGAAGGAAGACTTTAGATTGAAGTTAACGTTGTATAACTGTCTTATTTGGACATCAATTCTTTTCCTTTTCTGTAATTACCTTAGATATAAGATATGGAGATTTATTTCCTTTTATATTTCTTAAGTTTTGTTATATAATTGTAATCTTTTTACAGTGATTATATACAGAAAACATTCCATAACTGTAATCTTTGTTTATATGTGGCGTCTTTTGTTTATATGACGTGTTTCTGCTACAATTGTTTTTGTCTTTGGTCAATGGTAAGTTTTTGTATTCGTTTTCCATAACTTTATTAAGGACCAAGAGATTGACTTATAGAGTTTTACTTCTACTTCCATTAACCGTGCTGACATCTCGCAGCGATGGTTGCTTAGGTTTGATACATGTGGACACACACTTTCCATTACTTCCTTTCTTTCTTGGTATCCAACTAATATATATAGTAGTTTGTATTTCTTCAATGACTTTAATAATAAAATAGCACTCAAGAATGAAATAAAATAATTGTAGCAGCTAGTTGAAATCAATATGCTTATTATTGTCGTAGTTACTTTCTTCGCAAAGAGTGTCGTTCTAATGAATTTTCAATTGAACCAATAGACGAATCTTCATCTTCAGTATTACCAGTTAATGAAGAAGATAATTTTGAACCTATTGTTCAAACTCAAGAGCAGCAACGAGAAGATGCTAATGCATGGAGGGCTAGCATAGCTTTAGATATGCGGAGAAATGCTATTTAGGAGGACATGAAGCTACATCAAATTGGCTATTAAAAGATCTGAAAAATTGTATTAGCTTTTACTTTTCTTTATTAAAATTATCATTTCTTTGTTATCTTTTTCATTGACTCTTGTAACTTCGAATGTTTGTTTTTATTTCTTGTTCCATTTCTTTGTTATCTTGAACCAATTGGCTTTCATTGGCTTTTTATTTATGGTTCCATTCCATTTAACCAATTGACTTTCAAAACAATAGCTTGAATCAAGTGTCTGCAACCTAGTAACCTTATACCTATCATACAACTTTCTGGAAGGAAAGATTCCACCATCATTTGGAAAGCTTGGGAATTTGTAGAGGCTGTTCCTGGAGAATTCGTGCATCATTGAAGTAGACTGCCATTGTTCATCATCCGACTAAGTTGGTTGGTTAGCAACATAAGAGCAACTCCACCCATTTGCTATTTGCCTTTTGCCATGGAAAAGAAGGGGGGAGCGGGGGGCTAGGGCAGCCACTATTCACGTGAATAGTGGTTGCCATTGCAAAAAGTAATGTGTATTTCCACCCGTTGACATGGCATATGGCAATTACTATTCTTTCTTTTTTTTCACAAATTTTTTTTACCTCAATAATTAATTTGGATAATATTTTCGGAAAAGATTTTCGGGTTCCTACGTGTCAAGACTATTCATATCTCATAAAATTTCCAGATAAGATTTTTGGGTTCAAATTTCATATACATTTCAAAATTCAAATTTCAGATAAATTTCAAAATTCAAATTTCGGATGAACTTCAACATTCAAATTTCACATTTCATATGAATTTCAAATTTCAAATAAGATTTTCACTCTTTAAAATCGAGCCACGTGTCACCTCTATCTGGCCAAAATTTTCTATAAAACCAGAGGCTCAGCTCATACCTCTCACACCATATATTTCTATATTTTCATTTTTCAGAGTTTAGAATTCATACTCTATTCTCAATGGAAGACATGAGGAGATGTTTGGAGAGGCAAGAGCGAGAAACAAATGAGAGAAGTCGTAGATGAGCTGAAAGGCAAAGGTTGCAGAGAGAAAAAGATGAACAAGTTGTCATAGCAGTGGCTTTGCTTGATGAAGAAAACCAAGGTCACCGCCGTGGTTCACAAATCGGCCATGGCTCGAATGTGGACAGACATAGGCATTCTCGGGGTAAGAATCTTTTGGAAAATTATTTTATCCCAACTTCTTTGGACTATGATGTTGATTTTCGAAGGCGATATAGAATGCAATCCCATTTGTTCAATAAAGTCATGCATGATATTTGCAATTATGATGCATACTTTGGTCAAAAGTGTGATGCTGCTGGGGTTTTGGGACTTCTTCCAGAGCAAACGCTTACAGCTATTATACGAATAATGGTGTATGGTTCATCTGCTGGTTATGTAGATGAGATTGCCTGGATGGGGAAGTCCATTACGTTGGAGGCCTTGGTAAGATTTTATGATGCATTCGAAACTGTGTACACTAGGGACTACCTGCACAGACCTACGCCCAGGGACCTCCAACGACTTCTACAAAAAAATCGCAACTCGAGGATTTCCAGGAATGATTGGTAGCATCGATTGCATGCACTGGCAAGGAGATTACGGAAATAGAAAAGGGCAAAAGAGTATCATCCTTGAAGTCGTTGTTGGCTTCGATACATGGGTTTGGCATGCCTTTTTCGGAGTTTCCGGATCTCAAAATGACCTCAATGTGCTGGGTCAATCCCCGGTTTTCAACAATGTTTTGATAGGTGAAGCCTCGAATATCACCTATCAAATCAACAATACTGTCTACCAAACTAGGTATTATCTAGCAAACGACATCTACCTGAGGTGGACCACATTTATCAAATCAATTCTGAATCCCCGATCCCAGAAGCAAAGATTATTTGCTTCCTTTCAAGAAGGATACAAGAAAGATGTCTAAATGTGTTTTGGCATCCAATAAGCTCGGTGGTTGATTATTCGTGGTACGACGCATATGTTTGATGAGGAGGTGTTGAGGAGCATTATGATGACTTGCATCATCCTCCATAATATGATTGTGGAGGATGAGTATAATTACGATGCTGCAGAGGTCTATGAACCGGATCCCATGAAAACGGCCTTGACACGAATTTATGAAAGGCCCATGGGGCCCGAGTGGATAACCATTAGAGTAGGAACTGTTGGTTAGGGATGGTCGTTTCATGACCCGTATGATTGATCGATATACAGAGATGTAATCTTCTTATATTCATGAAAGGCGTCAAGTTGACTTGATGGAGTATCTATGGGCGGTGAAAGGCAATGACGGTGAATGATGGAGCATAAATGCTTTGGTTAGGTTTTATTCAGTTATGGTTTGGTTGTGTTGTGTTTTTTTAATTATGGTTTGGTTGTGGTTTTTATTATTATTGTGCTTTGGTTGTAATTTTTTATATTTTTTATTATGCTTTGGTTGTAGTTTTTCCTTTTAATTATGTTTTGTTTGATGTATGGAATATGTTGAATAAAAAGGTATTTTATTGAATGCTTTGTTTATTAAATAAAGAAAGCTAATACAAGTCATTAAGAATTACTACTACTAAAATAAAATACATGAATTACAACAACTTTAATACAAAACATGAAAAATACAAATAAATAAAAGGTATGCGAACTAATTTAATGATTTTGATCATTTAACCAATCCGTGTTGCTAGGTCCATCGTCACGAAAAAGTCTTCTTCTCATAACATCCATTCGTTCTAGCTTCCAAAATTGTTTTGTTTCAGGGGACATATGACTTGTATCCATGACCATGGTTTCCCAATCCGTCTTCTCAATGTGTTGTTTGTGCGAATACTCCCTTTCTTGTACATATTCTACTCGAATTGCCATCTCATTCTCTTGGTGTTTCTTCTCAATTTCAATTCTTATGGCACTCTGCCTTGCAAGTTCCTCTAAATTTTTTGATGTATTAGTGCTAGAATTACTCCATTTCTTCCCCTTCGCAGCCTTTCGGCCAATGGGCTTCGGCTCCTTTTCGATAGGCGAGTCTTGACTCACAGGGAAATTGAGAATTGAATCCGATGTCGTTGAATCATGGAATGACGTCTCGTTTAATAGAATGGGAGGACCCGTGGGAATAATTCTGAAGCGTGTGCAATTTTTCACCACCTCCCAACATTCATGATGGTTGAAAGTTTTTTTGCCTTGTCCAATTGCACCAAACCACATCTATACTTGCATAATCTATTAACCCAAAAAAAATAATGAAAATGGAAGAAATATTTAAAATATATTGGAAATGCAAGGAACATTAAATAATAAAAAAAGGTAATATAATTAACCTTACAAATATATTGGAAATGCAACAAATATTAACAAAATATTATTTATGCAAGAAATATTAAGAAAAAATTGGAAATGCATGAAATATTAACAAAATATTGAAAATACAAGAAACATTAAAAAATATATATATTAGGAAATTAAACTTAATAAAACGCAAATTACAAAATATTTACCTCGCTACTAAGATTTTCCTCGCTTCTATGGTTGTCTCTCGCTTTTGCCAATGCATCTCTCCATTTTGCTAACTCTTTATTGAGAATTTTCTACCTACTAGACAATGCTATTTCCGTACGAGTCGACCTCGGAATTCTTTCACAAAATTCGGCATGAATTTTTTTCCACATATAACAAAATTTCATCTCATTGCCTGATACCGAACAATGACTAATTTGGAGCCAAGACTCAGACAAGAAAACATCTTCTATGGTGCTCCACGAAGCCATAAAGATAAGAAATAAAAATACAATTTGAAAGAGAATAAAATGTTGAGTAAGAGTGGATAATAGTAGAAGTACAAGAAAATGTATGAGGATTGGTGTTGAAAGTGAAGGGTATTGATAGGTATTTATAGAAAAAAAAATCAAAATTTGGTATATTTTTAAAAAAATTTCGAATTTTTTTTCTCATAATTTTATAGCCAAAAAAAAGGCCAGTTGTTGGATTGGAGGAGGAGAAGTAGATCGGAGCGCCCAGGCGAAGACACGCGTCTTCTAGCCGTTGGAAATGCACAAGGATGACGTCAGCGTGCGGTTCAAATTTTTTTTACCATTGGCGCGTGACATCATCTTCCCCTCGGGCTGCAGCTTAGGTGAGACTTGCTTTTGGGCCAACCCGTCTTCGTAGGTCCCACATCCAGCCCGGGTAAAATGGCCCGCTGGAACTAAATTTTTTGCTTGGCCTCCCCCTAGCCTCGGGCTTGGGCTCCTCGATGGAGCTGCTCTAAAAGTAAAAAATCCATGTGGTCATTCCAAATCTTATAAATTATTATGATATAAATCTTTTAAAATCCAAACGTAAAAAATCCTGATTATAAAAATCTTTTTAAAAAATCTTTTAAGTCATTACATTCCTAAATAGTCTTTTAAAATCCATTAGACTTATTTATCCATAAATAGTCTTTTAAAATCTCAAATGAATACATCCCCCTAATTCAATACCTGATTATGCAGTTTCTTCACCACTTTACCTTCATCATTCAGATAACCCTTGCATTATTATTGTCTCCAAGCCTCTTATCGGAGATAATTACCCAACTTCGAGCCGAGCTACACGCAGAGCTTTGGAAGCCAAGAATAAAGTTGGATTCATTGATGAAAGCTTGACCATGCCTGCAAAGGCATCCCCAAATTATGACCAATGGATTCACTGCAATAGTATGGTGGACTCTTGGATTGTCAATTCACTCTCTGCAGAGATCTCCAACAGCGTCATTTATACCGGGAGCGTGCTTGATGTCTGGATTGATCTCAAGGAACGTTTTTTGCAAAAAAAATGCTCCACGCATATTTGAGATACACTGAAGCATATCTAATCGCCACCAAGGGACATCTTCTATGTCAATCTATAACACTGTCCTCAAAGGATTTTGGGATAAACTTTCATCGTACACATTTGTAGCTCCTTGTTCTTATGGTGCCACCAATTCTCGTAATGATATCTTAGAGGAGTAGAGACTCATGCAATTCCTCACAAGCCTTAATGAAGTTTATTTTACTGTTTGAAGCAATATTCTATTAATTGAGCCATTACCCACAGTTACTAAGGCCCATGCTCTTATTTTATAGGATGAACGTCAACATTCATTGAGTTCACCAACTGTACAAATATCATATCAATATGCCTTGGCTGCTATTTCTCGTTCATCATCCAAACCAAAATATCATTGTGATTTTTGTGGAGCAGATGGTCATACTGAATCTCATTACAGGAACAAAGATCCTTTAAAATACCATTGTGATTTCTATGACAAGGATGGGCACTCCGACTCTCATTGCCGCTACAAAAGGAGACAAGGCAATCAGTCTACAGGAGATCAATCCACCGGAAATCATTCGAATAAGAACCATGCACCTAGCATGAATAATTAGAATAGATCCAATAAGTGTAATTTCACTGCTACTGTGCATGCCAATCCATCACCGGCCAACACCGGTGCAACTCTCACTCCAGAGGAATATCAAAAATTTCTTTATATGGTTTCCAATGGTAAAAGTAGTCATTTGGCTAATAATTTTTCAGGTATTTCATGTGGCCTTGCCTCTAGTTTTAATTCCTTTACTTGGATTATTGACTCGGGTGCCACTGACCATATGATATCAAATTCAAAATTGTTTCATACCAAAACACCCATTACTTGTGCACCAGTTAAATTACCCACTGGCCAAACAACATCTATTACACATATAGGCTAGTCAAATCCATCCCCCACATTACCCTTGCAAAATATACTCGTTGAACCTTCATTTCAATTCAATTTAATGTCCATTCATAAGATTACCAAGTCCTTAAATTGATATGTCACATTTTTTCCTAAAGAATGCATTTTTTAGGACCTAGTTACAAAGAAGAGGATTGGCAAGGGTAGTGTGCGTGGTGGTCTCTACTACTTGGATTCTGAATATGCTCCCATTGTTTCCATTGTCACATCTGCAACCTTTAATCTCTGGCATTGGCGTTTAGGCCATCCCTCCCATATGGTTCAATCCAAGATTTCACACATTTCATATTCTGTTTCTTGTTTTAATAAGGATACTTGTTTGATTTGTCCATTAGCAAAACATGCTAGAACTCCTTTTCCTTTAAGTACTATTTCTAGTTTCAAATGCTTTGATTTAATACATTGTGACATTTAGGGTCCTTTCACTGTTTCATCTTTTACTGGTGCTAAGTATTTCTTAACCATTGTTGATGACTATTCCCGTTGCACTTGGACTTATCTCATGCATTTCAAATCTGAAGCTTCCCAACTTATGCAACAATTTTTTTCTATGATCAAATTGCAATTTAATTCTTCTATTTGCAAAATTCGCACTGATAACGGTTTAGAATTTCTCAATGCTCCTCTTCAACAATTTTTTTCTTTTATAGGAGTGCAACATCAATGCACTTGCATTGGCACACCACAACAAAATGGTGTAGTCGAGCGAAGACGTCGTCACCTTCTTAATGTGGCACGATCCATCCGTTTTCAATCTCATCTACCTCTCCAATTTTGGGGAGAATGCATCTTGATAGCTACATATCTCATCAATCGATTACCAAGTAAGGTTTTAAAAGGTAAAACACCCTATGAAATTTTATTTGGTAAACCACCGACACTTACACACTTGAAAGTTTTTGGTTGTCTTTGCTTTGCCAACAATGTCTTACACAAAGCATAGAAATTTGACAAACGAGCCACACCTGGAATTTTTGTTGGCTATCCCCACAATAAAAAAGGATACAAAATTTATGATTATTCCTCCCATAAAATTTTTATTAGTCAGGATGTCTAGTTTTTTGAAAACCATTTTCCTTATGAAACAACATCTTCCACTCATGATCACACCATTTTTTCACCTCCAAATATGCCTACACTACCCACAGATACCTATGACATTGAAACCCCTCCATATTTTCCTTCCGTTGCACCCACTCCTACACGTACAAACCCACCACATGATCTCACATCCATCACCCACTTCCTCTATATCTGATATTAATAATCATTCCCCCCATCACATATTTTCTCTACATTGACTACGAACAATCACACCACACCACTTGTCCATCCACCCACTACTCCTTCCACTCATTCGCTGACTTCTCCAGCAGTTGATCTTGAACCACGTATATGTCAACCACCCATCAAGCTCCTCGACTACCACTGTTACAATACCCATGTCAATCCATCTTTGGTTAACAAAGGTACCTGTTACCCTCTCTCTCATTACCTCACTCATTCTAATATTTCTCACCCTCACAATGTGTTTTTAGCATCTATCTCTACTGTAAAGGAACCTACTTCCTATTCACAGGCTTCTCTTATTCCCCATTGGTGTGATGCCATGCGTGATGCACTTCATGCTCTCGAATCAAATTCCACTTGGTCCCTTGTTGCTCTCCTTGCCAACAAATGCCTCATTGGTTGTAAATGGGTATACAAAGTCAAACGGAATTTGGATGGTACTATCGAGCGATTTAAAGCTCGCATTGTTGCTAAAGATTACACGCAACTAGAAGGTGTTGATTACAAAAAGACTTTCTCTCCCTTTGCAAAATTGGTCACTGTTCGAGTTCTCCTTACTATTGCGGCCTCCAAGAATTGGCCTCTTCATCAATTAGACGTCAACAATGCCTTTTTGCATCGTGGCTTACATGAAGACGTCTATATGCAGCCCCCCACCTAGTTATGTCTGTAAGAGGGAGAATCTTGTTTGCAAGTTACATAAATCGCTCTACGAACTTAAGCATGCTTCTAGGCAATGGTTTGCCAAATTTTCACAAGCCATTCTTGACGCTGGTTACATTCAATCCAAAGCCGACTACTCTTTGCTTTATAAACATAAAGGTATCACCTCAGTGTTTATACTAGTGTATGTCGATGATGTAATTATCACAGGTTCAGATGCAAATGAGATTTCCACGCTTAAGAACTTCCTACGTCAGCGATTCAAGCTAAAAGATTCGGGCAATCTCAAATATTTCCTTGGAATTGAGGTGTCAAGATCACGACGAGGCATTTGTTTGAACCAACAACAATATGCTTTGGATATTATCAAAGACGAAGGTTTATTGGGAGCTAAACCTGCACCTTTTCCCATGGAAGAAAATCTAAAGCTCAACAATACTGATGGCAATCTACTCAATAATCCAGCCTCATACCGCCGCTTGATTGGAAGACTTATTTATCTAACTGTTACAAGACCATATATTCTTTTTTCAGTTAATATCCTCAGGCAATTCATGCACCAACCACGCCAACCACATATGAAAGCTGCCATACGTTTAGTTCATTACTTAAAGGGATCACCTGGTCAATGTATTCTATTATCCTCTCATAATGAATTAAAATTGCAAGCTTTCTATGACTCAGATTGGGCAAGTTGCCCCATGACAAGAAGATCAACTACAGGTTATTGTGTGTTTCTCGGAACAAGTCCAATTTCATGGAAAACCAGAAAACAGCCCACTATATCTAAGTCCTCATCAGAAGCCGAGTATAGGGCAATGACATTAGCTACATGTGAACTACAATGGCTATGGTATCTTTTACAAGATCTTGGTGTATCACATTCCTTTCCTAGTATACTTTATTGCGACGACAAGGATGCCATATATATAGCAGCAAATCCGGTCTATCATGAGCGAACCAAACACATTGAAATTGATTGCCATGTTGTTCGTGAAAGAATTCAAGATGGAACATTATGTACGGCATTTTTTCCTTCTAAAGATCAAATAGGATATATCTTTACAAAAGCATTAGGCAAGGAAACTTTCCTACGATTGAAAAGCAAGTTGAATCTTTTAGACATACACGCTCCAACTTAAGGGGGACGGTTAGAAATCAAGGTTTAATAGAATGAAGACTTTAGATTGAAGTTAACGTTGTATAGTTGTCTTACTTGGACATCAATTCTTTTCTTTTTCTGTAATTACCTTAAACATAGGATCTGGAGATTTATTTCCTTTTGTATTCCTTAAGATTTGTTATTCTCCTTTTGTATTCCTTAAGATTTGTTATATAACTGTAATCTTTGTACAGTGATTATGTACAGAAAACATTCACCATATTTTCTTATATTTATATTCATTGCATTCGGTATATAATTAATATATGGTTCAGTATAATTAACAAGCAATAAGCATAGAGCTCATAATCTATAAACAAAAGCTTGAATACAACGTACAAGAAAGAGACTTTTAGCACAAATGGCCAGACTGAAATCATATCTGAGTTGTCCTTCAATCACTTTTCTGAGATCTTTTCTCTGCCTTGATTTTTCATATGTTTCGTCTGTGATAATTTTACTTGAATTTCTTTAATGGCGTTAAGAGAACTTTGTTAATGTTCAGTAATGAATTTCTCAATTTGTTGATACACATGGATTTACTTTCACTTGTTATGTTTTTACCAATTGATGTGAGGTAAAGTATGTCCTAAAGTTGCTGCCGACAATGTTGAGTTTTTTTTGGGTATGGATATGGGCCGGCAGCAGGTCGTTCCTTAATGCCAACCCTCGCTTAATCCAATCAACCTACAGAAAAAACGTACTTTCCAGTACTTCTTTGGACTGCAGGAAAAATTCATACTTGATAGATACAGAATTTCTGATGATCTACGTGTGTGGCAACCAATGTTTTCAAAGGCGAGGCGTATAGGCGAGGCGTTTTTAGTAGCGTTATACGAGGCGTAAGCCTTGAAGCGTTGAAGCGTAAGCCTTTTGAACATTAATTTATTTTAATAAGAAAAATTTATGAATAATACAATACGATTAAATTGTACAACTAATTCTTATTCAACCATAACAATCTTCTAAATATAATCAAATATAAGTACTAATTGTCATTCAAAGCATAATAATCAATCCCAAAATATAAAATATTTATTCAACATCAAAACATAAAATTATACGGAACTTCAAATTACAATTTATTACCGTCAAATTATACAAGTATGATGTATGTACGTAAAAAATAAATTTTAAAAAAAACTTACTTGCAATCAAAAGATGAAGAGAATTCTTGAAATTAATGGAGTTATCTGGTAAGGGTAGAAATTAGAGTTGTACACGTACTATACATATATATATATATATAGTTCATGTGTTATATATATTAAAAAAAAAAGAAAAAAAAGAAAAAAAAAAAAAAAAAAAAAAAAAGGTAGAAAAACCAACAGCCGGTTGGAGAAGAAAAAAAAGAAAGATATTAATTATTGTTTTAAGTTTATTACAATAAAGGTAAGGAAAAAAACTGAAACTTGCGTGTGTTTTAAAAAAAAAAAACAGATTCCAAGTGAAACGACGTCGTTTCACTTTAATATTGTTGTTAAAACACTGCAATCAAAACGACGTCGTTTCATTACAATAAACCTAAAATAAAAAAGAGGCAAGTCGTCTTCTTCGCGAAGTCATCTTCAACGCAGAAAATTTGCAGAGTCGCAAATTTCTTCCGGTTCAAAAGTTTCCAAATCTGATACGCCTTGCTCCGCCTGGCCACGCCTTGCAACGCCTTCTCACGCCTTCCTAGCGCTAAACGTGCAACTCGCGAAACAGCCGACCGCCTCCGGCGTTTACCCCCCGCCTCGCGCCGACGCGCGCAAAGGCATGCCTTTGAAAACACTGGTGGCAACTTAATTTATTTTATTTTTTATGACATGCACTTGTCATGAACTTCATTTTCATAGTCAATCGCAAGCCTGGAATTTTTGGGTCAACAATATAAATAACTTGGACAGGATTTTGAAGCTTAGAAGATATATGAAAACTATATATAATACGAAATCAATTCAATTGGTTTTCTGCTTTGACTATTCAGAGATACGTACGAACAAGTTCCGTGTTGATAATTGTGTGAGTGCAAACCTTTTTTCAACACTCCACGATCAATTTCTCTGCCTCCATTCGTCATTTGGCGTTAGAGTTCTGTGGGGTTAATTGTTTTTATCTGTATTCTGTTTCGTTCTTCACTTAAATTTAATTTCTGTGTTCAAACAATGTGCCGCCTCGTTCATTCAAATTCGCCTACAGACTGAGACGGAGACCAACCATCACTGCAATTTGGCTTAGCAAATTGAGTTGACAGAGTAAATGATAGCTGTTTCCTAAACCAATAAAATAAAGGCTTAAATGCTACAGTGTCCCTTGAAACATTGGTCAATTCTCACTTTACCCCTTGGTCAATTCTCACTTTACCCCTTGGAAGTTAAAGTGACCCACTTTGTCTCATTGATCAAGGTTTGATGTTCCACAGTGCCCCCTACCGTCAATTCCATCCAAAAATCTATTAAATTTGATGACGTGACATGAGTGTTTTAGTAATTTTGGGCACCTAAGTTTTTTATTCATAAATTTGAGTGGGGTAATGTGGCAAAGTGGAGCCCACCTCCATCATGGATAGAAAAAATTAACAAAAAATTAATAACTTTAAAAATTAATATACAAACATAAAATTTAAAACTTAAAAAAAATTGATCTCTCCCTCTCTCTTCGTTGTTTTGTTGTTTTGTTTTTTGGGATGGGAGGCATGAAACTTGAAAGCTGATTAATGGGCATGGAGGTTGCGGGTCTGTGGGAGTGGAGTAGAAAAAATAGAGGGAGGGTTGTTGTTTTGATTTTTGGGATGGATGGGTTGTTTTGATTTTTGCCGGGGGGAGTGGGGGGTGGTTTTATTTTTGGGTTGTTTTGATTTTTGTTGAGGTTCTGCCCAGGGAGAATGGGTTACTGGGGGAGGGGGGGGCGATGGGTTTTTGAGTTCTGCGTACAGAGGGGGTGGGTTGCAGGTTGGGGGTGGGGAGAAATAGGTTATGGGTTCTGCATAGAGAGGGATGGGTTGCGGGTGAGGGGGTGATGGCTTTCCAAGTTCTGCACAGGGAGAAGGGTGGGTTGCAGGTTGGGGGGGAGCTTTGGGTTTCTGGTGCGTGGAGGGGTTACAAGGACAGAGAAGGAAGGGCGTCCCAATCTTCCCCCACCCCCAGCAACATTGATGTTCCCCTCTCCCTTAACTCCTCTTCTCTACCCCTCTGCAAATCCCCACAAAAAAAAAAAAAAAAAAAAAAAAAAAAAAAAAATTTTAAATTTTTTTTTAAAAAAACAACCGGCATGCTTGGAACAAAATCTGATATATTTTCACTTGGGGTGTTGCACCTGCAACTAATAACAGCCAGGCCACCAATGGGTTTGGCTCACCTTGTTGAGGAGGCCATTGAGAATGCGGGGAGAAGAAGGGTTGGTTTTTTTTTTTTTTTTTTTTTTTTTTTTTTTTATGTTTATATTTTATATTTTTTTTTTGAGTAATTAAAAACCTATGTGCACAAAATTACTACAATACCCCTGCCACGTCATCAAACTTAACGGACTTTTGGATGGAGTTAACAGAATGGGCAATGTGGAACATCAAACCTTGGTCAAGGGGGCAAAGTGGGTCACTTTAACTTTCATGGGGTAAAGTGAGAATTGACCAATGTTTCAAGGGGCATTGTAGCACTTAAGCCTAAAATAAAATAAAGAAACATAGACAAAATCACTTTGTCGCAAAAGATATACTTTCATTTCATCATCAAAGAAGTTTCCACAATATTGAATTTCTTAATTATCAAACTGCCATGTATTTTGCTTGACCAAAAAAATAAGTGTCATATATTTTAAATTAATAAGATATCAAAGAAGAATAATAATATAAATGACTTGCTTTAAGACGTGTTGAAACAATGCACCACCGTGAGTACTATTTTTAAGTATGATTACGCACTGGCGCCAAAAGGTTCAATGAAGACAACTTATCCTCCGACTTTATTCATGATCAATCAGTTTATAATACAACTTGCAATCTTTGGTAAAACAAAAACAAAAACAAAATACAACATGGAAAATGTAATTGATCAAATAATATTGACACAGAAATCCTTAGTGATCTCTGTTCGTCAAGATTTTTAATTTTACAACAGATAATAAATAATTGAGAGGCTTGTGATTAAAACTTAAAAGAAGGGGAGGAAGCAACTATACCTATATCATGTATACGTACTTCGATCTTTTTTTGGTCGAATGTACTCTGATATTTTGTCACATAATTTGGACCCAGATGCCGTCACTTGGAATTTGCTGATGAACCACATACAAAAGATAATATCCTGAAGGCGCAAGATTTCCCGAAGCGGGCGTCGTCACCTCAACTTCATACGCGGACTTTCCAACACTCTTTACGTTATCGGAAGCAAGAACCAAAGACCTGTGATTCATCGAGAACGAATGTGTTGTAAAAGACGGTGCCACCATCGTCACTGACACCGAATTCGTTGCTAGTGTTCCCGTCACGGAAAACCGAATGGTTAATTTTTTACCGTAATTGATCTTAGCTTGTGATTTCGGTGAGACGATTTTGGGACGCACATTTGCGTACTTAGCGTCCAGATAATCAGGATTAAAAGCCTCTACTCTTAACTCCGTTGGGAAAAGCACGTTAGTGAACTCGTAATTAGGATGAGGGTTACTGCCTCCAACCAGCACTCTACCATCGCGTAGCAACACCGCTGTTGAATGGTACATCCGCGGGATGGTGGTCGGGTTCTGCTGCTCGAATCTTGACCCGGCTGCATTATCGGGTCGGTAAACAACAGGGTTCAACACCGGGTTCCGCCCAAGTTCCCAACCCGCTGCCCCATTTGACGCACCATTGATGAGCAAAACGGTGCCGTCCGGAAGCAATGTCATGTCACCCATGACTCTAGCTTGAGGCATGGTCTCCATGACCCACTGCGGGTTCGGGTCGGTTATTTTGATCCGAGCGCATGTATTTAGAGCTCCCGTAAAAGTACCCTTTGTTGCCTT